AAGGATATTTTTAGAATACAGAAGGAAAAATGCCAGACAGGAAAAGACTTTTAAATGAACCCCCAAATAAATTACCAGAAATAGAGCAGATGTATGCAAAACCAAACAGCTTAGGAGGCCCAGATAAATCTTCAAACTGTTCTATTCCATACTGTCCTAGGATTATTAAGAAGGTACAAAGATATAGGTATATAAATTTTAAATGACAAAGAACAAACAACATTTAATACTAGTTTATCTTTGGTTGCCTCCCTTTAAGCATTTGATAACCCTGGTGTTGAACAAAATGTTAGGGATCTATTTGAATGAGCAATAGCAAGAGAGAGAGAATACAGAATTGGACCATTGCTGTGACTGCTGAGAAATTGGGTAAGTCTTCTACTAGAATGTCACACAGAATAACAAAGAAACTATGCATGCTACTGGAGAAACACACCTCTCACAAAAATACATAAATTACAGTAAAAGCAAGCTGGAGAGGAAGAACAGTGACAATGGATGAGGAGAAAGAAGTACACTGCATTTCTCCAGGCTCTATGAGAATCAGTCCTCAAGAAAGACAGAGAAAATGCTGATGGACATTTTAGATATGTGTTGTGCTAGGAAGACTCGAGAGTCATGATCAGAGGTTACAGAACTAACAGAGACTGCATGAGACATTCCTCCATGCAAGTAAGACAATATGACACAGCAGGCAGAAAATGATTAAAAATTTATATTAATAATCCAGTGATAATTAGAGCTTTACTGCAATTTACAGTTCAGAGACACTGAGGTATATTCCTGTGCTGTTGTCAAGGTAACCTGTAAGCATGTAGGTGTGCTGGCCTTTATATCAAAGTAAGGAAATGAGAGCCAACATGTGCAGAATCTCTTTCCTTACAATTGAAAAGGTTGAGACTGAGTTGGAGAGCAAGAAAAGCTGGAGTAAATGCTAGGAGGAATTGCATGCTAGAGCTAATTCCATGAAGATGGAGTCTCCTCCCAAGTATAAGACCAACAGAGTCTGGAGCAACAGGCTACTTTCAGATAGGCTGGCAAAGGCTAACTCCTGAAGTGCTTCAGATACATCTTGTGTCACCCTGTACAACTTCCTGAAAGGTGGGCATAGTCAGGTGGAGGTTGGTCTCTTTCTCCAGTTAGCAACTAACAGAACGAGAGAACACAGTCTCAGGCTGCACCAAGGGAAATATAAGTTGGATATTAGGAAAAAGTTTTTTATGGGAAGAGTGATAAAGTACTGGAATGATCTGCCCAGGGAGGTGGTGGAGTCACCATCCCTGGATGTGTTTAAAAAAGGACAGGATGTGGCACTCAGTGCCATGGTTTAGTTGAGGTGTTATGGAATGAGTTGGACTCGATGACCTTAGAGGTCTTTTCCAACCTAGTGATTCCATGCATGTGATCCTGTGTGTGGTATATCTTCAGCATCAGTACTCATGTTAACCACAACATACTTTTGTTAATTATTTTTTATTTAAAATGATATTTCTTGATTCTGATTTGAACTGTGATTCCTTACCAACTAGAGTGCCACAACCATTTGTTTTTTCATTTGTGCTACATTCTTGGCCAGTCGATTCAAAGAAGAATGCAAAGAGGTGGTTAACACAAAAGAATTTTACTTTGCAAAAGAGGGACAGAGAGGAGTAGAAGAAGAGGTAAGAACATACACTCTGCCAGTTATTGAGTCTTCAATGAGATCTGACAACTTGTTGAGGTGTGACCAGTTCCTAGCACCAAAAAAAACAAGCTGCTTCAGGCACCAAATGATGCTGCACTGCTTAAAGGCTCTTCATGCCTCTGTCTCTTTTGCCTGCCCCCTCTTCTGCCCATTCCCCACTTGGACAAGCCTGTCAGGGGCAGTGGCAGAGCCTCTGAAATTCCTGGGCTGTTCTCACCCTGTTCCCAAAAGGGCAGTTTGTCACATCAGCATCTACCAGAACTGTGATTGATTATAGATAAATTCTGCAAGGCCTGGTCCTATATAAGGGGAATAAAAAAGCCCTCACAATGATTCACAGCAAAAGATAAAAAAAACAGTATAATTATGGTAAGTAATCTAAAACCCCAAAAAGACAGGCATTCTCAAGGCTGTTTTAAAGCCTACAAACTACTAAGTAGTGCTAACTGCAAAGTGCCTGCAGTGTGGATGAAATTTGGAGTGTACAATGAGCTAATTCATGTTTTAATAAATCATAGTTTTGTATGTAGCTTTTGAATTTGAAAAAGACACATGATTTCCCACACATTTCTGGAATACTATGCTGGAATATTAAAAAAAAAAAATATAGAAAAAATAATCTTTTCAGTGAGCTCCTATTTACTGTGGGGTATTCTGTTACTCAGTAGTCACTGTATTCTCCACCATTCATGTGTGCAGACGAGGTTTCCCACACTTGACTCAAAATGGGCTGATGCAGAATTAAACTCAGCCACAGGAATGCAGATGCTTCAATGAATGGAAAGCCATCTGCTATGTCTTAGACCTGAGATGTAATGTATATGCATAAACACAGGGATGTCATCCTAACCTGCTGCTCTGATGGACATCACCAATTCAAAAGCTTTCAGCTGTAGCACAGTTTCACCTACCCACCAAATAAAACAGTGAGGTAGGCTGATGCCAGGTTGATCCTATCATACCATGTCCCAGAGCCTGGCAGTCTGCAACTTTCTCTGGAACATTTTCCAGATTGACAGGAACTATTTTCCCTAAAGTTATGATGAAATACAAAAATGATGAAATGTAGGCAGGGCACTCTATTCTTCAGCCTAGAATTCACAGAATTATGCCTAACAAAACCAAACAAACAGAAGGTAATCCTGATAAAGCAGCAATTTGCACAGGGTTAATAATCAAAATGATTGCACCAGCAAGACCTTACAAAACAAACCTCTTTAATTTGGGGATTTCAGGACAGTTTACAAACCAGTACAAAAATTCTAAATGCATACTGGAGCCAGGGACAGACAAAAACTCTAAGTAAATGTGTGATTTATTTTAGTCCACAAATAAAAGAACTGTTAAAACACGCACAGGTAGATTATAGACAAAAAAAAAGAGAGAAAAACTTAGACCACATAAGGCAATCCACAAAAAAGCCCTAAAATTCCAGTAGATCTGTTGCAAATCTTGTCCCAAATGTACAAATTTTAAGATAAAACTGGATACCCTTCAAGTAATTCGCAGTATCTCAGATATTCTTCAAAGACTCTGTATGCCCAAAAAACAAATATATTGGGCAAAAAAGCAATTTGAGATCCTCAAGGACAGCTGAACAAACTTGTCTTTTATCAACTCCTTCAGCCACATTACCCCAGAAATCCCTACAAGATTCAGTCTCAGTCCCTGTCCAAAAACGAGACACTTATGAGTGACAGGCCACATTTCTGAGCATACAAAATGCACCCTGACACAGCTGAATTGTCCACCAGAGTGGACAGAATCTTCAGAATCTTCAGCAACAGTCAAAGTGTAGCACTTTTGCAGAAGAGCCCTCTCCGTCACTCACTGTTGCCCCATTTACCCAGACACTGCTCTGTCCCTTGGGAAGGGAATCACAGAGCTCACCAAGAGCCACAGAGCTGAGCTAAGGCAGTGTCCCCTGGGTGCTGCAAGGACATCACAGCAGGACCCTTCCTGTTGGGGATCCTACTAGGATGGACTGCATAGGCCAATCCCTACATGGATTTGGTCACAGAGGGCTGCAAAGATATTGTGTGTATCATGACTAAAACTTTTTGAAATGTTTCATAGAAGATGTTAGCTGGACAAATTCTTCCAGCACTGCAAAGTTATGGGAAGCAGCTAACAAAGAACTACATTTATGGAAATGAAAACCCAAGAGATGTGATGCAATCCTCTCAACCAGTACCTTGGCAAATCCACCTGAATGCAAGGTGAGTCTGTTTGCTTTCAGAGAATAAGGGAACGTAAGTGAAGAGCTGTAAGCAAGCCAGCCACATGCTGATCTGAACAGGGGCTGGGATCACATAGAGGAAGAAGTGGGTGAAACTCAAGATTTTCTTCAAGAAAAAGATTCAGATTAGCTTTTGTTCTGAGTAAACCAGTTTTAAGCATGTTCTGCACAATGGGTATTCTGAAATAATGTTTTGAAAAACATTTAATAAAGCATTTTGCTCCAAACTCCTGAATAAAAGTCTTGAGTGAATCAGAAAAATTACAATGGCTAGGAATAAATTATACAGATATTTGAAAAAATCATAAAGCAGTGTTCTTTGCTATCTTCACCTGCAGCAAGGAAAATCTACTGATCAGTTCAGTAGATTCCATTCATTTCAATATCTTCTACTTTTTAAACAAGGCTAAAAACTGTGATCATGAATACTTCTTTTGCCCATGGGAAGAAATTAACAACAGGAAGCAAAGATTCAGTGTTTGACTTTGCTTTAGCAAAACAACATAGTTAGAGGTCTCTAAGGAGATATTCTAGAACCAATTGCATAACAGTATGTACTGAGAGTCCAACAGCTTGTCAAAGTACAAAGAAAGCACAACAAAGCCAAGCTGCCATTAGTGAAATGAGCACATATTATTAAAAAGGCAATTTGCAGTTACTGTTGGATGGGTTGTGGTCTTGCAGTGTGCAAGTTACGTTTTGGTTACTTTGACACTTAAGAATTAAACCACTCTCCCTTGTTTCAATCCTTGGTTTTAAAAGAAATCAGATTTGAGATATACTAGATCTATTTCAAATTTCTTTCAGACTCTAGTCCACCCCCATGATCTCAACTATCCAGGACTTTAGCCATCTGAGAAACACAGGCTCCAACACAAGTGTGTGTGAGCCCTTTCCAGTGATTAATGACGTTGCATCACCAGTGAGAAAAGATCTCTTTCCATAAACACTCTTCACGCACCTGAGGTTGTGCTTACCATCTTTTAACTTGGATGTACACATCACAGATTAGAAATGTGAGAAGGGCCAAAATTCATGTAACCAGATAAGAGGCATCACCTTCAGCAAGACACATACCTTTGTGGTATATAAAACATGTGTTGTGGAGGGGGCTTGTAGAGGACTCCTTCATACACAGGCCACAGACCACTTAAAATTCTGAAGAGTGAACTCTTTCCACAGCCATTGGGTCCAGTGATTAGAAGATTCATCCCCTCCTCAACCTGCAAAGGGGATGAACGTTCAAAGATGTTACTACACAGTGTATGTAGCACAAGAGAGTCTAAGACCCCTAAGAGGGGTTACATAAACATTTATATAAAATTATCAACCAATTTCATTGATTAGCTGCACGTATTCAGGCAACTATTCTGGAAACAGTGGAATTAGATAAAATATGTAGGCTGAGATCACAAAAATATTTTTATTATATCTGAGTATCTCTATAAACTAATGTTTACAGTAGTACACAACAGTAGTATTTATAGTAATGTATTATTATATACACGTAATGTAATATGTAATACGATTATATTGCAGTGTAAATACATCACAGTCAGAATCAACTGGTCTAATGCAGATTAGGTTCAAAGTGTTTTAAGCAGTATTGTGCCTATCTGTGATATTAACTGCAGATATGGAAGGTCAATCATGTGATTTGGAAAATTTATTTCACATTGCCATTTCCCACTTAATTACCTACGTTAACTTGGCTGTGATGCCAAGGATTTTTTTTACTCACTTGACTGTTACCCTATGGATATATGAGTATGTATTTCTGCATAATCACAATGCCATTATCTATGTTTTACAGAAATATACTGACCTCTGGATTTTCTTCGTTTCTGTCTCTTGAGACAGATAAATAAATAGAAATGTCTGCTTGATCATGAGGTTGTAATTTTACAATTCTGAAATTCCTACACTGAAGATGTTGCAAGTTTGCCATAGCTAGGACCCTTTCTTCCTAGTTCCTAATTCAGAGGAAAAGGAACATCCTGCTTTAGCTAAATTAAAAGATCTTCTGTTAAATTTATTTCTGATAACTTCAACTCTTTTTAAAGAAGAACAACATCTGCACTGGAACATCAGATCAGGATACATATGGGAGTAATTCAGTAAAGGTCACTCATTAAAACTGTGAGCAAGTACCAAGAGGTGTCTGGAACAGGTTTCTAAAAACAATACAAGTTTCTACTGAATAAATCTCCCCAACTGGACTTGTGAACTATGCTGTCAGCTATTTGTCAGCACTGCTCTTTGTCAGTGTGCAAGAAAACTCTTTGTGAGTGATCAAGAAAAACTATGGGTTTGATTTTTTCACTGTTGCTGTGGCCTCAGACTTTTAAAGGAGCCTTTGTGAGGAAAGCATCCCAATTTGATTGAAATTTACTAAAGATGGATGCATACTCTATACACACCTTTGAAAACCTCAGGTCAGTTTTTCACCTGGCAACAGCAACAGAAATCCTCCCTTTTCTTTCTCTGAGCAGGACAAACTACATATGTCTGCCTCTATTGAGCTACTATGCCTACCTTTCTGGACTTCCCCTTTTATCCATATGCTCCTCCAAGTACTTAACATAAGGTATATGAATTCTGTGCTGTTTATGTTAATGTGATGGCAACAATCAGAAGATTCTTGCATATCATCTTACTTTGAAGTTTAGTCTGGAAACCACCACATCGCCATTCGGAGTAATTATAGGAACATTTTCACAAATAATTCCTTGATCAACATCAATTACTTTCCCTAGAAAGAAAAAAAACCCAAAAATTAGAGTTTGTGAAACCCTCCATTAAGCAATCACTTGTGACAGCCTCTGTGCTACAACTGAGTATATTTTCAAGTAAGGACTGGTGTTTGAAACAGCTCTTTTATGTGCTCCAGGTTCCCCTAGTGGAAAATCTGGATAATAAATCTTAGCTAGTGCAAAAGACACTGTCAACAGTAGCCAAGAATGCACAATGAAACCTAAATTTGATCCTAAACACAATGCACAGTATGCATCATAAATGTGACGCACTATAAAGATGTGTTCATTCAAATTCTACTTGTATTTTCGGCCTTCTGTTTTAAATAGCTGTTTAATACCAAACAGTAAAAAAGTTCAAGGACAGCCTTAGCCACAGAGAAACCAGTAAACTTTCTTTTGAGGATTTAATTAGGAGTCACTACCAGCTCTGAAAGTCAGAGCACCTTTCAGTCTCCTCCAGTAATGAGACCAAAGAAGAAAACATTTAATGGCTTGCTTCCATCTCTTTTCCATCCACAGACACTGTAAACATGTCTTGTAATTATTTGCAAAGACTTACATAACATTTCAGTCAGGTAGGTACACCTGGCATTTGGATTTCTGGCAAATTAAATATACAGTCTCTGTTGGACATCTGGATACTCTGTAATACAAGGACTTTGATATTAACTGTCCTGGAAACAGTAGAAGAATGAAACTAACTTCTCAGTCACCTGTTAATGGTCCTGTCTAAGAGAAACCAACAGCTGGATTCCTAGAAAAATATTAGAAATTAACTTTATAAACAAGATGCAAAGGAAAGATATTTCTCTTTGTATTAGAAAGCTGCTTACTTATAATTTCAACTAATCTGAATAACGAAAAATGTAACAAAGACCAAGTTAGTTACTCAGTTAATTATAAAAGGCTCTGGTAGCATTTCCTTCACTTAAGTTTAGTGTCACATTTTTCATTTAGAGGCTTTTTGTTCAGTTGCTTTCAACTTTGCCAAACTGTAACAAGCTGGGCAGAAATTTTTATACCAATCAGTCCAAGCATTCTTTTTTCATAAAATAAGTTTTACTTAAAACAGCATGAGATCATGAGGAAAAAAGTATTTTTCTGTTAAAAAGAAATTACTTTGATAGAGTGGGGATATTGTAGTTAAAATAAATCAATGATAAAATATAGTCAACTAGTAAGAGCTAAGTAAACTTAATTCTCATTTCCTAATCCTAACTTCACAGCATTTGATTGCAACTTTAGCATGCTTTTAAAGTACATTTGTGTAATCAGAAATGCAATTTGACAGTATTTGTACAAGACATACAAAATTCTATTTATTTTTTTTAATTATGAATTATTAAATATGCTACAAGGCAATATTATTATCTGTAAAATATTATTATAATTCTCATATTTTCACACTCTTACTGACAACAGTAAATGCAAAGCACAAAATAGATATTGCTTAGTTACAAAGACTTATATTGGATGATTCAAAAGGAAATAAGTATTATGTGTTCAAAGAACCATTGGGGAAGCTGAACGTTGTGATTTTTCTCCTCTAGCAATGCAGACACATATGAGTATGTGACCACGTGTACTTTTATCCACATACAATAGACTCTTCAGGGTTTTCTGAAGTATTGCGACCGAAAGAAGGGAGGAAAACCAGTACTACAATAGCACTTGTCATAAAAAGTGTGGAGCCTGTGGCCTAGATTCATCTGGCCTAAATTCTTCTTAAATCCTTGTGCACAATGCTTGGTCTTGGCTAGCTGCCTCTGAGAGCTACAACTACACAACAGCAAATGCTAGTCACCATGGCTTTAGGAGGAATTCAGACTGGATGAAAAGTGACTGTAGTGGAAGGAAAACTTGGGAAAAGGTTGCAGAGAAAAGTAGAGTAGGGTTTAGATATACTAGACCTAAAGGGAACATGAAGAGCACACTTGCATATCTGAACTGTATTTGGTTTTGGTTTAAAACAGTTATCTAAAAAGAGCCCCCAAATTACTTCATTGCTCCAGGAACTACAAACTTTTTCTCATGTACATGACAAAATGCAACAGTTATAAAATGCCATTTCTTTTAACATCAGCCAAGTATTACCAAGATCTACAAGATTACATCAGCTATTTCCATACCTATCCACCACACTGCATCACACTTTGTTATGATGAACCTTGTCAGATGACTTTTGAGAAATATGAGCTGAAGGGCAGCACTGTTGAAATCACTGCAAGAAGTTATTTCACAAAGAACCCTTTGGGGCCTATAACTCTACTGAGTCTTAACTTTTCAAAAGCTAAAGGAAAAGAATGAGGCTTTTCAACAGCACAGAGGGCAGCAGCAGAAATGGTATGTTGGGAAAATGAGGAAAAACCCATTGCAAAAACCTGTCTTTGAGTACCTCAGAGAGAAGCTGGATGCAAGACGCAGAGAGAGGTGGCACACAATGGAGCACAGTAAGAAATGGATGTACACAGAAAATGTTCAGGGAGGGTAGAGACAGAAAGACAGTGGCACCATAAAGACACAGGATGGGGTCAGGAGGGAAAAAGTATATATTGATCAGATAATTTGGGAGGTGAAAAGAAGGATAAAGTTGTCATTTTCAGTTGAAGATTTCCATTAAATTATCAAAAAATGAGCACAGGCTGATCCTTAATTGTGGAAAACATAGCTTTTTTGAGAAAAAATACTGAACTAATCTGTCTTTTTTCCTCCTACCTCAAACAAAATAATGTTATGGTTGAAGATGAAAATGTTACAGTCCCAGCTTTCCAAAAAAAATGAACAGTCTGAGGAAAACAGGCACTGTCAGTGTAAGAATGCTAACATCACCATCACATATAATAGTATAGTTGAAACGCCTTTTCATAGAAAGTTTTTACAAAAAACATTTGATCCATTTTGTGTATTAGAAAAGCACACCATAAGGACAGAATTATAAGGTAGCAGGGGGTTAAAATGAAAGGCAACATGGTCTCTGGGGCGTTAAGGCCGAGAGGCTGATTAGTTACAGGGAAAAAACCCTCTGTTCACCTCTTGTCCCACTGTACCATGCCTCCCCCACCGCCCCTGGGAAATTCATACAAATATAAATTAATTACCTTTGATTTCTAAAGGCCCATCAATGTGTGACTCTGCTTTATCTTCACTCCTGCTGTTGTTTAAAGATGCTTGAATAACAGCAGTTCTTTTGTAGATGCCTCTCTTCACCTCATCAAAGACTGAAAACATGTTGTAGACACGGGCGGTGTAGCCTGCTAGCTCAGTGACCTGAGAAACAACAAACACCTCATTTCAGTTATACTTCACAAATTCTACAAACTAAATGTTTGGCCAAAGATCAACATGAGCAACAATGTAGGTCAACAACCATTCATTTCCATTCCTTGAAATTCTGTGCTAACCCATATGCCACCTGTCACTCCTATCAATCAGCAGAAAGGACAGTTTGAGTTAAGCCCATGTAAACTACGATAAACCCAATAAATGAAGGGGTTGTAGAGACTGCTCATTTCTGTAGTCTTCAATGAACAGAGAGCAGCTACTAACATATCTGAAAACAAAGAGGCTGGTACACAAGGAAAAAAAAAATCTTTGCATTTTCCAGCAAAAATAGAAGCCCACAGAAGTGAGAAAAAAATGGCATCTATAATTACTTATGTTTGCTTGTTTTATTCCAGAAACCTCATGTGGGAGAAGTGTGCTTTTCTGTGTAAAAGAGGCAGCACCAAGGCATTCTAACCTAAAATACAGTACAAACCAGAAGTGAGTCTTCTATCAACTCCATGCTAAATCTGACACATTAGAATAGAACCGGGTATTTTTAACACGGTGACATCTCTTAAAAGGCTTTCTCCATTTTTTTGTTTTGGTCCATTTGTCACATTCTTCACCTGGTGAAGACAGAAACAACAGATCTCTGGACCTTGTAACTTCATATTCTTGGGCTATTTAAGAGCTCCCAAAGAACTGCCTTCATCTAATGGTAGTAAGGAATTAAGCCAAGGCCTTTTATTTTAAATGTATTATTAGATGGCTTTAAAAGGATAGATCTTTATACAAAATGCAGAAAGGATAAGAATAGCAACAAAATTAGATCAAGATTATAAAATCCTTGGTTTGCTGTGGTTAAATATGGTTAATAATAAACCCCATGACTGAGTTCACCCATTATGTTGTACACAATTCCAAGATCATTTGAAATAACTAGAAATAATTCCATAATTTTTCTGTAAATTTGCCTATTTGTGCCAGCCTCTGAAGTGAGTGCTAGTTCTGGCCACATGGCCATCATTTCACTGGAGGATGATGGAGAGAATCCTGCATGTGATAAATGAAACTGTGCCAGCTGCACCCCAGGAGAACCACTGCGTAGTGAGATTGTATACCATGACTGTAGAAAATAATATGTTCAAACACTAAATGCTACCACCTAAACTATTGACTGCAAAGAAAAGTTGAGCCCACCTCATCTGCACAGTGAATTTCACTGAATTTAAGGAGGCTGCCTTGGTGGAGGAGGTGGGCAAGAAATGGAACTGCACTACCACTTGATGTGGGTTGAAGTACACTATCCTTTGGAAACTGCCTGAATCACAAAATGGGAATGACAATGTGGCTGAAGTACTGCAGTGTCTCTCAAAGAGAAGTGTAAACGTAAAATTAAGATGGGAATTCACAGAACTGCTCTTGGGTTTTATGTTGTCCGGATTAATATCTTACCATGTTGTAGACAAAGTGAGTTAGTTCAGTTCTTCCTGTACTGTTTTGTGGGTACTTTTTTTGCCAAAAAATAAAACCACTATTTTTTTAAAGTCCTCATGTACATTATGTAAATTACTTAAATGCTGAAAACAAAATAGATTATTTCATCAGTGTACAACAGGTTATCTGGCAGTATCTTGGAGCAGAGATCAAGCAGGGGAACAGCTAAAAGAGTGTAGGTCAAATATTATAGCCCATTAGAAGGACTTCTGAAAACAGCACAGACTCTGGTTTTGTCAAAGTCTGTGTCTGAAGGTGCCAAACTACCCCTCCTCTGACAATTTAAAAAGCTGTAGCTTTTATGGCTGGATTTCGAATAACAGAATCCATAGTCTTTGATTATCTGCCTAGCTAATGCATCCCTCCTCACACTGTACTGGGAAAAAGGGTTCCCACCAAAGGGATGAGCAAACACCAGTAAAAATATGAAGAACAAATATTCAGAAGGAAATGCTGAGATTAACAGCACTGCCTCACATTTCTTTGGCTTAACAGCTGGCATTTAAAGAAATCCAGAAGAGAGACAACAGATCAAAGCCCAGCTCTACTGGAATTTGGGTATGGACCTGAAACTACATCTCTGATCTTCTAGATGAACATTCTGTACTTCTAGAGTACTTGTACTCCCAAGGTGCACCTTTTCCTGCTAAAATTTCTCAATTTTGAAAAATTATTTACAATTTAACAAGTTGACAAGATACTGCAAACAGCCTTACAGTTTATGTGACCCAGAAATAAGTATTCAATTCTCCTTGTTCTTCACATAGAGACAGGTTGCCCAATGAGATGGAGATAACCCCATCTCTGGAAACATTCAAGGTCAGCTTGGACGGGACTCTGAGCAAACCAATAGTAGTTGAAGATGTTCCTGCTCATGATGGGGTTGGACTAAAAGACTTTTAAAGACTCTTACAATTGAACTATTATATGCTTTCATGACACTTCCAACAGAAGAGTCCCAGTATACTCAAGGCAGACAGCCCAAATTCAGGTCTGTGCTTCAAACAGAAGAGGAATTTGAACCTTTATCACTGACATTCCAGGAACTGCTATCACCCTCTGATGACACCTGAACACAAGTATTAAAAATGACATCTACAGTTTGCACTATACAGGCAACTATGCACTTTAGACTCTTTGTCAACTTAACCCTAAAGATCAAACTACCAGTTCAAAGATCTCCATGGATTTAGTTGCGATAGAATTTGCCTTTAAAAACTGCACTACTTTTTTAATATTTTATATTAAATATAAATAGTTTTTCTTTTTTTCCTCTTCTGTTTCATGCATGCAGGATGTATAGTACCTCTTTGTATGAAGACATAATTCTTTCAATAGCATCTGCTCCAGAGATCAGCAAGTTTCGTGATGTAGTAAAAGCTTCTGTTCTTTCACTAACCATTGCCTGTTTCTGGCCATCTTCCAACTCTGAATGTAAAAAAAAAAATTAAAAAATTGTTAAAATATTCTGCAGAAAATTATCTCTACAAACTAAATTATTATTGCAATGTGAGCTATTATAGAGCATGTTTGGGTTTTTTTTTAAGAATAAGTTAACTCTATGAAGACAACCTTTCAGAAAGAACTGGTAAATATAATTCGGTCAAAAAGAATAAGTGGGAGCATATGGAATTCACCTTGTTAAGCAAAACATCATATTATTTTATCTATTTATCTACATGGATCGTTTTCTTTTTAATATATCATCATAAAATATAGTTATTTCAAAATATGAATAAAGTGAAACCCAAGAGATTATCTGAAACAGATTTTTAACAATTTTTAACATTTTTGCGATTATTAATTTTCAGCCTTACTTATTTACTGACTTCATGTAGAAGGAACCATTCACATTTGTGTAAATCTGGCAACATGATTATATTTCTGTAAGAAAGCAATAAACTCTTTGGTATCAAAGGCATGGTTTCAGTAGGATAACTCTTCCCTCACGATTAAGTTTCTTTCTTCATCGGACCTCAGAACAAAGTTTTGAGGCTTTATTTATGACACTGGATCCTGTTAACAAGAATACTCTTGCTCCAAAGAAAGGACTTGTCTCTTAAGAATGTCAGCAGCATTAGGCAAGGAGAAAACAGCAGCACAATTTATAGAAGATACATGAGAAGCAAGTATATTTTACATATTTACATATACCACCTTGCTACCATGGGTCCCACAGATTGGATTTACAAGGTTTGTTTCCTGAAAGAAACAAGATTTAAAAAGAAGTGGCTGACTATTTTGAGGCTAAATGTTGTTTCAGTGTTTATAACTGCAACTACAAATCACTGGTGTAGTAAACCAGTGGTGCAGTAAACCACTCTTAAAGATTTTCCACATAAAAGATATACAATGAAAGATCTAAAGGGTTTTCTGCATCACATAAGTTTATATGTATCTCCATATATTGCTTAAATCTTCTGCAGAATGGGATCTGAATATTACTTTATTCCCTAAAGTTTGTTAAGTTTTTTCTAAGTTTCTTTTTTAAACTAAGCTGATGCTAGGAATCATGCTAGGCAGGGTAATAGGTGGGTCCACTGTGGCAACTCCTGTACTAGCAATTGCTACTAATATCCGTATTTTCACAGTGTCATGATCAAGTAAATCTAGGAGGAATTACCTGCAGGTGTAATGCAACCATAAATTTCATGGGCTAAGTCAAGCAATGCAAGAGTAGAGCAAATAGCATTTTCTTACTCTCACCTCCCTGACAGATCATATTCTAGAAATCTGGTGTCTGAAAATCTACAGGCAGTACCAAAGCCAGATGTATCTTTCCGTGTTTATTAGTTAAACCTAAATGTTATTTTGTTTTCATTCACACGTCCATAAAGGTATTCCTGCTAATAAGATCAGTGAAAAACACTGAAATACACTGTATTTCACTGAAATATACTGGAATAATTATCTAATTATATATGTATTAATAAATAAATAAAATATTAATTTATTTATTTATCATTATTATTATTTATTATTATTACAGAGAAATAAAGTGCAATAGTTAATAAAATAATTATTACACTGAATTATTACACTGAAATACAGTGAAATAATTAATGAAAAACTTTTAAAAATTGCTACGTCATAACTTTTCATATATGTGTGTGTGTGTGTGTGTGTGTGTGTTTGTATATATATACATACACACAGAACATCTATCTTATTTTTCCTGGTTTTATTAATGATTTTTTTTTTCACTTCAGTTCTACATCAACACACTGTCAACCACTTGTATGCAATCTTGCTGAGACACAATGAGAGACATGCTTTTAAAAAAACCTACAGAAAAGCTCTTATGAAAAGCGCTTGCAAAGGAAAGATTATAAAATTCTAACTGATGTGGTTCTCACCTAAAAAAGTTATTTCCACTCCAAGAAGAATGCATTTCGTGATCAGGGAGAATTCAGTTAATTCATTAGTAAAAGGGGAATTGAAATTTGTTTATTTCTGAAACAAGCAATTTTTGCTGATCTTGTTGGGCTTATAGGACATGCAGCCTATGCTATGTAGAACTACCACAATTAAATCATGTAGGAGTCAGGTATGGCTTAACTACATTGATGTAGCATTCCTCCTTAATGTAAATGCAGTATTTACTGATGGCTGCTTCCAGCACCCAGGCCAGCTCATCTAGCAGGAGTTTAAGGATCCCCCACAAGCCACCACATCAGTCAATTTAGGGGTATTTAAAAAATAAAAATTATATACAATTTATGAGCATTTCACAGCCCCAAAAGACAAGCTCTTCTATTATATAACCCACCAATATAATTTTTCTTGAACTTTTTGTCCAAAACACTGTTCATGTGGCTGGTCTCCTGTGTTTAAAAGTATTGCATGTTGACACTGTCTCTGTTTCATACAGAAACTAACATTTCCATTTTCCTCTTCATTCATTTAATTGATAGTCACACTTATTTTATAAACAAAAATAAATTTTCACTGTGTCTAGAGAAAGCAAAATCTTGCTTCAAAAAATAGTTACTCTCCATAAACTGAGACACAACATTTGGAATGTAAATGGTTTAATACAAAAAGAATGAGAAATGTTATCAAACAGGAATCTTGTCTTTGCCACCTAAATTCTTCATTGAAGTATATAACAACATTTTAAAATTTCAGTCAGAAATATCACTGTCAAAGAAGTTTCTTTTTTCCTATTAATGAAGAATTATTGTTTTTCTTTCTCCTCCCTGAAGAAGTGTACAAAATCTATGGCTTTACACCTGTAGTGTCAAGTCTGGCCATGGTACCAGGTTTGTACATATGCCTGACTCTTTTGATTCATCCTAAAGCTATAAATTGACTACCTCTTCCTCCAGATGTGAACAAACTTGTGTCTGATCCACTGAGGCAAAAAGCACTGTTTTCCCAAGCAGGTCACTGGTAATTTCAGGTGTGCTTGATTATTTGAATACCTGTAATACCTCAAACTGGTCTTGACAGTGCTGCCAGTATTATGCTTGTGAACCACCATTATGGTAAGTCCCAGGACTCAATAGTAAACCCCATGTTTTAATAGTTTAGGTTGCTAGTAGCAAATATGATTCTGTTTTATGTGAGCCACTTGCTGCATCTTTGTTTTCTCCCACATTTGAAATGTATTTAACAAAAGAACAAACATGAGTAACAGGAATGTTATTTAGTTTAGCATGAATATGAGTCCTTTTTTATTCATGCTCTAATACCAAGGAGATATTTACAACATGTGGTTAAATGCTCCTTTTCTTGATTGTACCCATTCCATCTTAGCAGAAAGACTCTTATCACTTTTTCTGTTGTGCTGATAACCTTCACCGTGAGGTGAAATGCTTTTGTACAGCCTCTTCAGTTTGGAACAAGACATCCTGATATTTTTGAAGCTGTTCCCAGGACGCCAGCCACATAGTGCTCTCCTAAGCCACGTGATGGGCAGCAGCTCAGAGAGCTGAGCACCCAGCCATGCTCCAGCACAACATTTAGTGAGGCAGCTAAACCTTGTGCCAACCGAACATGGGCACTGCACGGAGCCATCCTACAGCTCACACCAAGCTTGTCCACTTGGACAGTCTTGATTTGGAACATAACTTCCAAGAAAGAAACAGAACTACTGCACAAAAAAGAATGCACTCATTCCTAACTCAAAATACACAATTTAGAACATCATGATCCTTCTGAAGACTTTGTAGGATTCATGTTATAGGATTTTTTTATATTTTTAATAGCACCTGCACTAACACCACTATTTGAGTTTCATTTCACTTCCAGGAAAGTTGTGATAGGATGTCAAAAATTATTCCATCCTAGCCTGGAATCTGAATTTTATCTTCTCCCAGGGAGTCAGGGAAAATCAGCGGTTTCCAACAGGTCAACAGTAAGAGAAAAATTATCTATAATTACCTGTAATTACACTATGGTTTATGGAAGAAGAAGATAAGCACTCTAGGAAAGTTCATAGTATCATTTTGCAAAAGTAGATACTGTAAAAATCAGCCTGCCGTTCCAACAGTGACTAGTGAAAAAAGAGACTGCAATAATAATCTCATGTGATACAAGGATTCTCAAAGTCCTGACTTCATACTATGTATCACACTCCAAGTTGGCTCATCTGCTTAGCTGACTTGCTATGCTTGCAAGTTATAAGTAAGACACAGATGCTGTAAGAAAGTCTGTGAAAAACAAACCAATGTGAACATCACTCAAGGGAACTACAGTCTTTTGAGGACATAACTTTAAAGAAACATTTAGAAATTAGGTAAAAGATGGTATTACCGCCATCTGCAAATCCTGTTGCAGTGATGATGGGCACAGCAACCATGATCATACCACAGCTACTCCAGACATACTTCATCAGGAACTGCTCTATCATGATGTACCATAAACGTTTGGACAAAATGAGATTCATTTGATCTGTCAAATCCTTGTAGCTTTTTTGCAGTTGTTTCAATTCTACCTAGGGTTAAAATAATAAAATAATTTATACAATTAAACTAAGATGCACATGTAGTACAAGATACGTTCACATGTGTACATTAAATAATCAGGAAGCTAGAGCTATCACTTCTGAATCCCACGGTACTTTATGCTCACAGTGCTGCAGTCTCACAGCAAAAGTGCACAACTTTATGGAAGTCAGTGGATCTGGATCTTATTTACACCATTGTCCCTCGACAGAATATTGCCAAGTTTTCAACCCTTTTAAGATTTCTAATATATACAAGAACAACATAGCAGTCACAACAGTTGATTCTAACAATCAAAATAAGATTGATTTCACCTTTTAATAAAGCTGCAGCTGTATAGTTTCACAGCAACTGAAAATTATATTGGAAAGCATGCGGGGGTCAATTATCTTTAGCAACTTAAAGTTGCAGAGTTGATTCCTGAAATGCTGCTTGTTTTTGCAAGCAGCCTGGGGAAAAAGTGAATTATCCAGTAGTTTTAAAAAGTCAAAGACAGTTGCAAGTCAATACAGTATGTATTCAGTTCAAGCCCATATATGTGGGAATTGAGAAAATGCTTAATTTAGCTGCGCTTAAAACAGGCAGCTTTTGAGAACGATTGTGTCTACAAAAATAAATCATTTACGTTATATAATCGTTGCTTGAACTGAAAGAGTAACTTTTCTTCAAGCTGGTTTCCAGATTTCATTTTGACCTTGCAAGAAACAACATTTTTTCCCAATTGTGTTTGAAATGTATTACAGCCAAAATTCACTTCTAATAAAAATATGAACAGTCCCTTAATAAGGTGGCTTTAAAACAAGCTACTAGTTTATGTAACTGTGATTGCAGAAGTACTGTACTTATGCTATTTTAAGACTGGTGACTACATCTTTGCTTGGATATGCGAAAGAGTGTCAAAGGTTGTAGTGTGCTCTGAGCCATCACAGAGTTTCCCCCTAGACTTTCTGGTGTGCCGTGGTTGCTATTTCTGCTGAATTAAATATGGTGGTTTGTACACATGATTGGAAAAAAAAAAGAAGTCTGGAAAAGTTAATCAGAACTGACTGGGTGGGGGAAAAGAGTAACGTAGGTTGTTTTCTAGATAAGCATAAGATCCATCTGCAAAACCAGAACACTGCCAGAGTTCAAAAGAACTGTGATCCGCTCCCCTCAGATGCTGCTTGTGAGACGGCATTTCCTAAGAAATGGGAAGTGCCCCGCTGTAAACAAGTTTAAATGTCAGAGGAACCCAAAGTGCACAAGAAGGGCGTCAGAGGAAGCATGGGTCCCCTCCGGTACTGCAGGAGCGACCCCAGTGCTTCCAATTTCTCCCCTCCTTACCTTGTGCCCTCGGTAAAAGGCAATCTCTTCCACGTTGGCAATGATACGTGAATGTATGAAGCGCAGATAGCCCTTCTTGTGAGCCTCCTCAGCCACTAGTTTGCCAAACTTGGGCGAGCAGGCTTTGAGCACTCGGGCCGTGGCATAGACGACGAGGCCAGCCAGGACTGTGGGCCCGATGGGGTTGGCCCCGCGGGACCGTGCTGTGCGGATAAGGGTGTAGGAGGTGAGCACAACATCCAGGATGGGCTTGGTGAGGTTGGAGTAGAGGTGCGCCACGGACTGCGAGAACATCATGATGTCCTCGGTGAGGGACTGGTCAGGGTTGGCGAGCCGCCCGTCCATGCTGATCACTTTGTAGTAAGTTTGGTTGGCAAAGTAGGTCTCATAGGCGTGATCCACCAGGCGCGTGCGGAAGGCGAGGGCCAGCTTGCACTCCAGGTACCGTATGGTGCTGTTCACGAAAGTGGCTGGGATTGCAATCATCAGCCACTTGATTAACTTGAAGACAAAGCTTCTGGGCTTTTTCTCCACAATGCTCTTCACAATTTTTCCATCGAGGGCGGCAACATAGATGGAGAGGAAGGTCCTAGACACCAGAGCAAACGAGTGGAGACAGAGCAAGCCCAGCTCGGCACTCACCAGCTTCGGGAAGAACAGTTTGCGGAGTTCCAGCAGCTGCTTGAAGAATTCCGCGTCCACGGCCGGGGAGGCTCTGCCGCGGCTGCCGGTGCGGTGCGGGACCGCCCGGCCCCTCTCATCCTGAGCGCCGCCTCTGCCGCCCGCCCGCTTCACACGCCCGCGGATGATGGGGTAGAGGATTTTGAGCCCGTACGCCGCGGCCAGCAGGCACGCAGCCCTCTTCGCGGCGCCCGCCCTGCTCCACTGCACCCGCCGGGCCGCCGCATGCAGCATGTGGGCCATCCTGCCCGCCGGAGCACCGCTACGCGCCGCTCCTAGCGCGGGTGGCTNGGGAAGCCCTGCCAGGATGGGCAGCGCGTCACCCCCGGCACTCCCCGGGGCTGGGGTGCTGTCCGGTGTGGAGCGACGCGGCGGAGGGCGGCGCAGCCGGGCCGGTGGCCTCGGGTAGCCCCGGGTCGGAAATCGGCCGGGCGGCCGCGGGAGGGAGCCGGGCAGTTCGGCGTCTCCGGGGCAGCGCCTGCACACTGCACGTAATTTATTTCCTGTCCTCCCCCCGAAAGGAAACCGGTATTGTGCACTGGCAGCGTTATTAGCCCAAAATAACCCCGACCGAGTCGCACGGCCCCTGCAGTGAAACCCTGCCAATTTCTCACAAAGGAGTCTACAGTAAAGGCAGTTGTCTTGCTGCTTTATCTTTCTGTTTTCTTAATTGCTTGTTTCTACTGCTTAACTTGTTTGGAAAAGGTACTGGAATTGCAGGGGGAGGATCAGAGTACCTACATACTCTGGTCCTTTTACACCTTGAAAATGTAGTAACTAAAGTAACTGCGTAAGATAGTATATGATAAAAACATTAGTTAGGAATGTGTGCGTATGTATGCTTTTAAAATGTGATACTAGACGTTTATGGCAGTGGTGAGGAGCTTGGTTTTTCCCTAAAAATGAAGAGTGAGGCCACCTGCCTCACAGTAATTCAGTAAATACTGTGTTACACATTACTGTTATGATACGACCCCCCATTGAACAGAGTGCAGTGATCGAGTGTAGGTAACAACACAAATTTCAGGATGAAGGAATAGTATAATTGATTTGAGAGCAAGTGAGGTTTACTTTTAAAAATCAGACACCACTTCTCGAAACATCCCGTTGTCTTCTAAAACGTCCAGTAAGCCAAACCAGCAGGACAAGAAGGAAGCAAGATCTCATTTCTTCCTAGGAGGTTACAAAAATTCAGCTCACAGTGGTCTGGACAGTTAGGTAGAGAGGATATGGGTTAATCTTTAAGTGCATTATATTTTTGCCAGTGAGAGCAGGCCAGAGATCTGGACAGAGGCTCTTCTAGCTTTTTTTTTTTTTCCCTAAATGCACAACTCAAAAGCTAGGAAAATGTCAAAATCTGACCTAGTGCAGTGCAGAAGACATTCAGTTAGTAGGTAAGCCTGATGTCACTGCAGATTATTTTGTCAGTAGAATAGGTTTTTCCGTGCACAAAGATACAGACAAAAAGTTATTTTGTCAGAATAGGATTTTCAGTGCACAAAGTAGCTAAGAAATTGCTTTGCTTACGGCTTGTAAAATTATGGCTGGTAATCATGCTCTCCACTGGATACTTCCCTTACTGGCTTGTGTAGCACAGCATACTCTTAGATTTTGCCAAACCACAGCTATTTGCAGTATTTCATTACTCTAGCATTTTCTTACCAGGGGGAAAGTTCACAGATCTCTTTTGGTTCTGTGTATTTGCTGACCTTTCACTTCACAGGATCCTGGATGACTGAAACTTCTGATGATTTGGTGGTTAGTGCAGACATACACCCCACAGTCAGATCTGTGGGAACATTTAAGTGAAGCAAATCTAACTGCACAGTGTTTCAGTCAATAAAAGGAATGTATTTCCTTCTTTTGAAAGGATGAAGAAAAGACTGAACTGTTGTTTTAAATACCCCCTTTTCTGTTCTTGCTGTCTCGAGAGTTTTGCTCTGCCACAATCCTGCTCAGTAATCCATGCACAAACTCCTCTTTGTGGAGCAGGGCCTTAGGTGTTAGATTTTTTATTTTTTTTTCCTGCTGAAGGCAGGAATTTTACTACATTTAGTCATAATAACACTTCTCAATATTACTGGAAAAATAACTCCCAAAACTGCAGTAATATTGGTGCAGTGCTCTGCTGTCTCCACATTTTCTACTGACTTTATAATAAAGTTCTGGAGATATGTGTAATCAAATAAGTTTGAGTAACTGAAGCTGTGGAATGGGTGGGTGTCTGGGGGATATTGATACTAGATCCAGACTATTTGGAGATCTTTCTTCAGGAGAATCTCATTTTTTAGTGTCAAGTGATTGGTTTTTAGTCATACCATTAGTTTTTATCAAATGCATTAAAATAACTTGTGTGTATTTTTTAAATACAGGAACCAATAACTGGGGAGGAAGAATATATGGCAGCAATGAGTATCAGGGTGACTGAAGTCCATGAATGTTTGTCTATGCAGGAACTAGAGTGTAATCATTCCAACTGATGCCTTTTTTATCTTCTGTTTTGTGCCCACTGTCTCCCACACCAGCACTTCATCCTTGCACAACTTTGTGGTTATGATGAAGGTAGTGGAATTGGAACATGCAGGCTATTACACAAGAGATGTCAGTCAGGCTTACTCAGTGATCATTTTTTCTACCATTTGATTTAGTGTTTGAAAAAATAATGTGCAATTTTTAAGCAGAAGACTATTTATCTGATGTCTTATATGGTCCTAATAGAGGGTCCAGTAGCTGTAACATCAGTCTGCAGTAAACTGAAATTTTCTTGATGCTTATGGAGTTATCCACTGTGCCGTAAGGACATACAAAATAAAAAATAAAATTAGTGAAAAATATATATAAATTCTGTGTTTTGAATAATTTCTGTTTAGGACCACTAAGATTTAGATGCGTGTAGGTCATGCAAACAGTACACAGTGGTTTTCAATGTGGATGAATGTATGTGAAACACATAACATGAATCTACACCATGCTTGGTTTCAATTACTAATAGTGAACTGTAAATAATATCCAAAATATGATGTACTGTAATACAGTAAGATAGGAACATCTGTTTTTTTCTCTAATTTTGAGCTGTGGATTTGCATAGTGGTGTGGTGTGGGAGTATTAGGGTTTCATTTGAGTCAGATTCAACAGAATATGAACATAGAAGCCATTATTCAAGTAAATACCTTTCTCTGAAGTACTTCCAAACTTTCTATTTACTTTAGTGCCATCACTTACATAAGTACTGAAATACACCCACAGAATTAGTTTGCAACATCAAGGCACACCAATGGTAAATTTGATGTTTTTATCAGAAAAGGGTGATAAGATACTCTGACCTTTGATTTCAAATTTGTGTCAGCAGAAATTATCTGTTTATTTAGTCTATTTAGGGAAACTATTGGCTATATTCATATACCTCAGTAGAATATTCAGATGCTGTAATTCCTTTAGGACCTGGAGATCAAAGACAATCAGGAATTTCAGTTTTAATGGCATGGATATGAAAGCTTGTTGAAGAAGTGTCAGTGTGGTGAGACTGGCCTGATCCTACCAAGCAGTTGATTCCAACTCTTTCTGGTGAAACTGTAGGGGTACCTACATTCAGAGATGGTGTAAATGGGGTGCATTCATGCACCAGAAGTCTTTTCTCCTTTACTCCATCTTTAGGGAGATACATGCTGCTGTAAATTTGAAGCCTGCATGACTTGTAGTTTCTAATAATTTAACCATAAGGGATCTGAGAAATCTCTATGACAGGACAGTCAACAGCAGACTGATCCCTAACAGTTCTGACTTCTGAGAATAGTGATATTCTTGAAAGAATACCTCTAGAAAGAATTATAAACAAATTGTTTTCCCTTTACAAAGGGAGAGGGAGAGGGAAATAGGCAAGTGTTGAGTTCGATGTCAGCTGCTCCAGGCATGGTAAACTGTCGAGCGATGTTCTCAGACAAAGAATTTAACTTTAAATATTTAGGCTTTAATACCTAAACCTTTAAGATCAGATTTCTCTTTCTTGTTAAACTTATTCCATGCAGATAATTCAGTTGAATGAGGATGTGTCTCTATTACATCTTCAGAAGTTTCAAATACATTATGTATGTATTTCAGGTTTTGCTTTAAATCTGGAAAGGTTTCTATTTGCAGATCATCTGAAGAAAATTCTAATGCTACCTTATTAAACCTTTTCTCAAGTGCATTGTAAACTCTTTAAACAAGCTACATGCACAGTTCAAGAGTACAGGTATAAGTGGTAAAATCACACAGATGGTGTCAGTTAACAATGGTGATAGTGGCACTGCCCACAGCAGAGTCAGTGTTCTGCTCTTTAAAATGAAGCCAGGAATAAATTCAGAAAAGCCATCTCTTTTACTCCTGCACCTCAAACACAGGATTTGCTGCCATCCTTTTGTCATGCCTCAAGAATCTGAGGGTTTACAGTTGATGAGTATAACAACAAAAAGGTCATCTACTGCTGTTCAGCTATTAACTCTTATTTCTGAGACTTCTAAATATTAAAAATTAGCAAACAGGCCAGTGCTTCACCAAGCACAGTATTCTGTCTCAAACAATAGCTCTAAGCAGACACCCAAGAGAGAAGAAAATTGCAATTTAATGTGATGCTGCAGTTTCATACTCTCCCAACCTCTTGCCATTTTAAACTGAGAACTTTGTGAGCCTCGGAGGTTTGCCTATTAAACATTCCTTACAATTACTCTTACAATTACTTGTTCAGTCTTTCTTGGAATCCTGTAAACTTACGTAAATAGAAACATCTGACAAGCCGTTTCTCAGATTTACCATTTCATATGTGAAGAAACACTCCTTTCTTCTGTTTCTCCCACAAGCTCCACTTTATGTCCACTTACGCCTGTTCTGGAAGAGGCTTCAACAGCACAGCTCACTCTTGTTCACTCTCTTCCCCTTTCCCCTCACCCCACAACTTTCCCATACCACGCAGGAGTTTGTCAGCCTCTATTCCATATCAATCCCCTGTGCCCGAGTGCATGGAAACAAGAACTAGTCTCTTCCCTCCCTTTTGCTTTTTATTCAATGGCAGGACCTTCCCTATTATTTTACAACTTCTTTATCTTCTTAAAACCTTCAATAACAGATGTTGTCAACAGCCTTAATTAAATCCAGCAAGGCAGCAGCAATCACTCTTTTCTACATGTGTTCTATAGCAACCTTCCATCTGTAGAAGCTCCACTAGCTGGCCTATATTATTATTCCTGCTAATTTTTTTTGTGCAGAAGTGAGCTTTCTGGATTGTCACAAAATTCTTATTTTTAAATTGTGTCACATTTGCTACCCTCTAGTCTGCAAGATGATTCCAAATTCAAGTGGTCCTTTCCACAGTGCTGCATTATAGAACTCTTCCTTGAGTAGTCCTGGTACTTTGCTAGTCTTCATTCTGCCTTGGTAAGATCATTTTCACTTTGTCTGTTGTTACTTGCACTTTGGACAGATCCTCAGTGAGTTCCCCAGGAAGGATTCCTGCATAAAGTTCTCCACAGTTTCCTCATCAATGAATACTAATGCAAAAAGCCTACCTTTTTGGTAACATGTGTCTCTTCTGAGTGCTCCTCTTGTTCCTTGGCCATTAATTGTCCCTTTAGACTTTCTAGCAAGCTTTTGCTCCTAGTTGATGTGAAGAAAAAATTTTTAGTAGTTTGGTTATTTTGCCTAATTGTTTCTCCATTTTTTTCTGGCCTGTTGTATTTGTATTTTTCTCTGAGTTTGTGTTCCCCTCTGTTATCTTCTTTTTGCTATGGTTCAGACTCTCTTTACTTCAAGTCTGGTATCCTTCAGCTTTTTCCTAACCCATTGTAAGGATTTCATTCTTTTAGCTCCCTCTCCTGATTTGCTTTTGACACTTCCCTAACTGGAGTTCAGCCCATCTACAGAGGATTCTTTGGTCTTTGTTAATCTTTATAGAAATACTGTTTATATAAAGTGAGTTTTTCAGCGTGAGACTCTAACAGATCTCGTGCACTGTTCTCCATCAAGCCAAGGACAGCACTTTGTCTTTAGAGTTCATTCTGTAAAAAATTATTCCACCTAAATAATACCACCTAAGAATGGCATCTGCTTCATAGAGCAATGTGACAACCTGCTGTTGTCAGTGGTACTGTTGTGGCTGATGGTTTGCCATGTGTATCCAATCCCATGTTCTTCCCAGCTAGGCATGGAATTTCGACCCAGGTAGATTAGGTGCTTCTCTCTACGCTGGACAGTTTGCTGTGTTTGGAAACTATTTAGCCTCTCTACAATCTTCTATCTTTCTACCCTTTAAAGGTGAATAGGGGAAGGACTTTTCATCAAATTAATTGAAAAAGAGATCTGTCTTTCAAGAGGAACTATTTTTGAAAGGGGAAACTGTTTTTAAATCAAGCTTTGTCTTACATTTTGAACTTCCTCAAACTCTGTCATGATTTTTGCAGTATAACAGCCATCTTTTTAAAAGTACTCTTAAGGGCAAAACCATCAAACAGGTTACTGTAAAACACTACAAGGTCAGTGTTGCTTTACTTCTCCATAGGCTGATCTCTCAAGGAAGGGAATGGCATAGAGTATTGACTGGAAAAAAGACATGCAACTCTGTAAACAAAGTTTAAGCACTGTATTTACCAAAGAAAACTTCCACTTGGAACAGAGTCAGGCTTTTTTTAGTCATGCATTCCTAGCATTAGACAATTAGGTCAATATTTAGGGATCTGAATAAGTGTATCCTGGTATTTAAAAGTGCCAGAAATTCTCACCCTGGATAGAGATGGGAAAGAATTTTAGTTTTCCTGCATCTTTTATACAGTTTTCTAGAGATGGATTTAGTTACCTAGTGCTAGATAAAAAGATCAAACAAAAAAAACAAAGTTAAGGTATGTTAAATTAACATTAAAAAAATGAGTAATGTAAAATATTTAAATCTAACTGAGATTCGCCAGTATGAGTTTGTTTTGGGTTTTTTACTTAACATTCACCTCTTTAGTAATTCCTTCCTTTATAATGAGCACTAGAGTAGGACACTTGCTGGAGAGGGGAAGATTCATTAAGAAACATGAGAACTATTTGCAGTTAGTTCTAAGAAATTGCTTGGAAACACATCTTCTCTCTGTTTCTCTCTCACTGTCTCTGGTGAATATGTTTTTACATAAGCAGTGTCTGTTCACTCAAGGGAACATGTTTAGGGAAAGAAGCATCTTCAAACCTTCAGGGTTTAATAATGTTGCAGATAGATTTGGCCCACACAGAATTCAAAATTTCATTGCCTAAATCAGCTGCTTCCTCTCTGGGTGTGTTGAGACATAGAGTAGGGGCCTAGCTTAAGTACTCGAGTCACCCATCAGATCTCCCTCTCTCTTATTTGATTATATAGGTGTTCTGTAAGGACCTACTCAAAACTCAGTGCCAAAAGTTGCACAGTCAACATTTCAGCACCAGCCTCCCTGGAGAAGTGCTTTCTTAGACTGCTTTGGGCAGCTTTGATATGTCTCTTATATCTAGATCTGATCTGATAATGAAGAAGCATGTCAGAGAGGAAAATTCAGGTGCTGAAGGTTGGAAAGCTGTCCTGAAGAAAATCCTGTATAATACTTTCTTAACAAAGGAGCAGGAGGTATGGTTATTCTGAAGAGTATAAAAGTTAGAAAAAAGAGGCATCTGTAAACTTCAGTCCCTGACAAATAGAGGAAGCCTCTTTGTTCTATACTTTACTTCCCAGAGAATCAACTAAGCTCCATGAAACTCATTCTCATGACCTTTTAAAAATTAATAATTATGTCATACTATTCTTTGAAACTATGCCATCAATCCAGAAATTCACATTAATTATTTCAAACTTTTAAAATGACAGTCAAGGCAATATATGCAAACACTGGAAATATAATCATATTCATCTCAGGTATTATTTAATTTTTTACTTTGCCCTCCTCAAAAAAGAACAGATTTTTTTTTATGACTCTTGAAAGGTCATTAACTTTATTTGCAAGAAATAGTTTGAGGAGGAGAAGATTTATTATGTTGAAAAATAATTAATTGAAGCTGCCATGTAACTTTTCCTGGATTCTACAAATATCTGCTAATTACCAGCTAAAATAATTCAAACATAAAGAAAATCCCACTTTTTTCCTTTGAATCTAGACAATATTGTGAAAAAGTAAGAGTAAGGATGATATAAAAAATATAATTTATTAAAAAAAAATTTAAAAGGGATTTGATTAGTTATACATGAAACTACATCTTATGCGTTGTATTAGCAAGTTCAACATTTACACTAGATGGAATTGAAAATAAAAAATAATATTTGAAGTGATGAAATCAAATAAATTTTCAGTCTGTCATCTGTCATATTAGCTGTAGAGACACATAGACTTAAAATATAGATATAATTTATCATGAAGATTTTAATCAAGTATTGTTACAAGAAACAATTATGCATACTTACCAGATTCTATAAACACCCTAGCCAAATTAGAAGTATTACAAAGAAGAACATATTGGGTAATTTTTAATTTTAGACTCCTAATATCTACTCTGAACACTCTTCCCATTGTTGTACCAATGCTAATCAAACTTTAGTACCCTGAAAAATGTTAGGCTAAAGATAACTCAGCAAAGAAACACCACGGGAGAAGATTCATATAGAATTTTGATGATTTTTTTGTAAACGAGTGCCTTCCCTTGCTGAGATGATGGAAGTGAGTTATAGGGAAGGGAAAAAGTGGAGTTTGCTGCTGCCAAGATTCCCCAAGTGGCTCTGCGTCCCTCCTCGAGGGTTAGTCACAGTTAAACACAACAGCTCATTAGGCAGGACCAAGAGCAACAACATCTATCCAGAGAAAATGCTCCTATTGCCCCTAAAATACCTTAGGAAGAGCAGGATGGAGAGGAAAACTCTCTCTCGTCCTAAAAAATAAAGCGGTTGTAGCAGAGCAAATCAATTCAGTTGGGACAAGACACTCATGACTCCCTTGGGAAAGAGCGATGGCTTTGGCAGCAGCCTGCATGGAAACAGCAGAGGTAGAAAGGCAGGAGCAACCAGAGCATTGCCTCTTCCCCATCAGCTGCCTTGCTTGGCTTTCTGCATCCTTCCCCTTTGTCTGTCAGTCCCTGTACCACCCTTTTGTTGTTCTCTGCCAGCCTGGGGGCTTGGAGAGCAGCTGCCCTGGTGTTCCCAGGGAGGTGGAGGCCCTGCAGAAGGGCCCTTGTGGCACTGCTGGGAGGCTGCAAACCATCCCCGAGTAGCCATTGCCTCTACCCACACGGCCAGCAGCACACGGGGCAGCTCTCCCTCCCTGCCTCCTCAGCAGCAGAAAATGAACTGGGTCGGTGGCAGTCGGTGAGTGAAACTCTACAAAGCCAACAGAAACAGCTGCATGTTGTGTCAGTGTCCCTCACAGACTGGGCACTGCCATGGTGTGTTTGACAATCCTTATGCCCCCTCACAAACCAGACACTGCCATGTTGTGTGTGGAGCCACAGTGTCCCCTCACAAACCAAGCACAGCCATGGTGTGTGTTTCAGGCCTCATTTCCCCTCACAAAGTGGGCACAGCCATGGTGTGTGTTTCAGGCCTCATTTCCCCTCACAAAGTGGGCATAGCCATGGTGTTTGAGACCAAATGAATGTCTCTCCGCAGAACAGTAGTACCACAGGATGTATGTTTGAGGCATGGTGTCCCCTCACAGACCAGCAGGCCCTGGGGTGTGACAGCCCCAGAGTCCCCTCCTGAGCCAGAGTGTGAGAAGGTGCAGGTGCCCTCCCACCCCAGGCAAGGAGTCACATTTGGGCTCAGTGTCTCTCCAGACAGGGGCTGGATGAGGCCTTTCTCACACCCTCACAAAAAGCTGTGGTTAGCATTTGGAGAAAAGGATGTACAGGTATTGAGATTCACAGAAAAAGTAAAGCATCACAAACTGAGTTGAAATTATAAAGAAAAAAAAAAGAAAATGGTCTGGTTTTGTGGGTGTTGTGCCCTCTGCCAATCTACCCCACAGATTTTGTTAGCCATTGGGAAGCAGCATTTTTGAGCACAGCTTTGTATAGAGTCATCCAGACTCTATGCAGAATCAAACTAAAAGAACACCCTATCCATCTGGAAGTCTTCCCAGAAAACTGGGAATTTGTCTGAGTGTTGTCTCTGTGAAGCAGGAGGAAGGGAAAGTTTCAGTTGGGAAAAACCCCAAAACACCAACCCAAACTTTGTTCTAAATGCCTGTCTGACATACCCTCTGGAAGAAAACCCAGTGTGTAGGAGGAGTATTGCACACATTTAGCAAATACGAACCAACCTGCTGCTTGCTATTGCTGGTAGTATCTGTCAGGGTTCCTCAGGTGAATCTGGGGTTTACATTTTAGGTGTCAGAAAAACTACACATCACTGGGGTTTCTCCCCACTGCAAGGGTGAATGTTATACCCATATGTTTGGAAAGTTTGCTCTAACTTTAAGCAAGAGGTAATTCCAAGGGAATAGTCAGTATTTCTAACCCTCACAAAAAGTTGTAATCTTACTGACCTAAGGGCTGCAGCCATGCTCACTCTGCTTATGGAACAGTGAACCCAACTTCCAGTTTTATGCACCAACCTCTCTAGGTATTTCACATAAGACTATGTTTGACAGGCGAGATAAGTAGTTGGAGGTATAACTGTCTCCTGTATTGCACAAACAACAGCAACTTGTAGTGTCAATCTATTTTGCTTTCCTGTTTTACAAAATGTCCCCAGTATTCTGGAAAATACCAAAAGGTAAAAGCTCATTTAGTGTTCCTTTGGTTTGTATACTAATATAGCTTTGTAGCTATGTTGCAGAATGACAAAGAAAATTAGGAGAAAATAATATATTGACAAAGATTTCTTAAGTTTTAAGAAATTAGAAATTGATGAAATGTACATTAAAGTCAAGCGACTAAAGCCTTTTTCTGTTTCCTTTTTTCATGTTAAATGTGTTTGGTGACCTAATATCGAATGTGGTCCTATCCTTACTGGAGTAAACTAGGATCAGTCAGAATTACTTCAACAGAGATATGTTGACTTTACTACCTGAAGGTTTGACCTATTATAACATAACATATAACATAGCATAACATTATAACATAAATATATTTGTGTCCTAAAACCTCTGAACCATTGATGAGAAATTTAAGCCATGACTCAAGATTATACTTTTTCAATTGAAATAATAATTATTTGCATTTTTCAGAAGCAGAATCATATTAAAGCAAGAAAGGAGAAAACAAAAGGTAAACCGTTTCAGCCATATTGGATTTTATGTTGTTATATAAAAGCTTTAGTGGGTTCACTTATGTAAAACTATCAAAGCTATTGGAGTGATATTCAAAACACTAGATAAACAGTTACAGTGTGTTTCCCTGACTTTTAGGGGGGAAAGTCTTGTTCTAGATTTACTAAACTGAATTATAGCAAGAAGAGGAAGGAGACTGAGAAGGTGTGAATGAATGAATGAATGAATGAATGAATGCATGCATGCATGCCTGGGCCAAATTTTGGTTTTCCTGGATTGCTTCTGTTACCAGGTTGTGTTGGTATGTGGGGACACAAGGGATTGCATGAAGCCTCAGGTGATAACCACGTGGTCATCTGGCCTAACACACACATACACAGACATTCTTCTGGTCCATGTAAAGGATGTTAGTCTCATTAAAGTCCTTTTTCTAGTATTTGCAAAAGGAGGACAGCTTATTTGTGTTTTGAATCTGAAAGTGAAATAAGGGAATCAAACTTATCCCTGGCATAGTAGAAGACTTTTCAAACAGGAAAGATAAATAAAACAGCTATTAAAAATGGCTATAACCATAATAATATAAAAAATAAATTGAGTCAGTTTCCTCCTCAGCAGCAGGAAAGAAAGAGACAGTATAGGGAAGCTCCACCACTGAAGGTGACACCCCCAAAACCCAGAGCAAGATTTTGTCTATATGCACAGGCATCTAGAGGAAAAACAGGCTGACTGTATAGAGACAATTACTCATATTAAAACATTTACAAATAGGAATATGGGACCAAGAAGCAACTTGTCCTCATCACTTTCCCAGTTTCCTGGAGACCTATGAGCTCTCTGTTTTCTCAAGGATTACTGGTCTAAGCCACGTAATTTATATTATAACTGTGTAATTTGCTTCAGTGGAGAGGAAAAACAGGAAAAGACAAAATTGTTTTTAGTCATGTAGTACTAAATTACTAAACACAGGTAATTTTCTAATTCCCATAATACAATTAGTAATATAGTAATTTAGAGGTGATGGGGAAAAATGTATCTGAGACACTGAAGGGAAGTGGTTGCATTTTGGGGCTGTGGACACTAAAGTAACATGAATTTTGAAGTGTTGATTTGTACACAGGGTGATTTTACCTTACTGAAGATATTCATCTTAACTGAAGAACAGATATTATCCATAGATAAAATCATCCTAGAAAGATAAAGATAATAATAAATTATACTAAAAATTATTTACCAATGAACATGTTAAGTATGTTAGTTACATATAACCTGCAATCATGAGAGGAATTACATTTCTGAAGAAAATCCAATGCTATTTTTTGTTTTGGCATAGCCTTCAGTTTTCAATATCCTTCTCTTGTTTAGGAAAAAACCAAAAACTTACTGGGTTTATTTATCCATCTGCTGTACTTAATGATTTTAGGATGATTACAAATAGTCTTTGCAAAATGGAGGAGTTTGTTTCCTATATTGTTGTCCTGATATATTCAAAGTGTCAGTCATATGTCTTTTTAGTCCTTGTAACAAAAATTCTTTCTGAATTCCTAATCATAGAAACTTTTCTTTTTTACTTTTTCCTTTCTTTTCTTTTTTTTTTTTTTTTTTTTTTTTTTTTTTTTTGTCAGAAGACTATTTTCTTTGTCAAGAGAGACAAATTTGGACAACAGTAAACTCTTTGTGTCATTATAGATGGCACATCTGGTGTATGTAAACTTGCTGATTTGTTTGGTTATCTTATATGCTTCCTGAAAAGCACCTTTAAATTTTTTTAGGTCTTTGTCCTTGCCACATTTGGTATCTTTTATTTTAAGAAGTATTTTTAGTAGTTGTAAACAAAGTTTGAGAAATGAGCATTTAAGGACTAAATTTTTGGCATCGAGATAACAATGATTTATTTTGAATATGAATATTATATTTGCATTCTTTTTCAAGGCAATAAAAAATAAGAGCAAATGGGGCATGAGAATTCAGAGATACTTAACCATGTATTTTTATATTAGGAATAGTTTGCTAAATCTTGCTTGCTAATTTCAAAAGAATTACCTATACTGGTAATGTGTTGTTGAAGCTTCTGTCAAAAACTTATTCTCTCCTTTAAAAAACTAAGGAATATTTTGAAAGAAAGAAACTTAAGTCAAAAATGAAGGTCCTGGAAGTATCATCTCCTAAGAATTCAGCAGTCAGTTTGGATCTTCTTAATCTATATGTGGTTAACCAGATATCAATCAAAAAAGACAACACTGGTGAGTTTTGGGTATTCTGACTTCTCATAATTAATTGTTCTTAACTATTACTGCTGTTATTTTAGTTCTTGTCCTTCCATTTACAACTTAACCCTCAAATAAGTGTTGTTTTATTTTTAAAATAAAAAATTATATTAAAATTCAAAAATTATGACTGAATAAAAAGGGCACAGGAGGAATCAAATAACCTTGGCTCCTGCCTACTTCACCTTTAAAGCCTTGTGCAGTGTGGTTCCAGGCTAGGCCAGGGTTAATGTTTGCAGTAGCCAGGACAGGTGTGGCAAGGACCATGAGGTGATTCTGCACGTCCTCACATCGTGCACAGGGGGCCGCAGGGGAAGGAGTCCCGTCTGGTGGGGTAATGGGAAGTGAGCAGCCAGGGAACGTTGTGCTCCCTGTGGTGAGCACCTACCTGTGAATCATCACTCTGTTATTAATATCCTTTCTTATTTCATTGAGGAGAGAGAAGGGAGAGGGAGCAAAGTGGCACATGGTTTGAAGTGTTTCAGTGGGAACACTAAATTGGAGAATGCTATTTCTAAACTACTACATACACTTACTACCTCCCCCATACTATTCATTAACTTTACCCCACATCTATTTCGTCCATTTCCCATCTACTTCCTTTTTCATAACTTTGGGGGTATTTGGAATAGTCTTGTCAGTTCTACCCAGATTATCTTTCCTAAAATCCATTATTAAACTTCTTGAGAAACCTCACTAAAACTTGAGTCATAGCTCTTTAAATGTAGATGTGGTACTTAAGGATATGGTTTAATGGTGGACTTGGCAGTGCTGGTTTAATGGTTGAATTCAAAGATCTTAAAGGTCTTCTTCAATCTAGACGAGTCTATGTTTCTATGATTCTTGTCATCTGTGACATATTCATAAACCAGATTATGGAACATTTTTTGTCCTATGCTCAGAGGAATAGAAGGTGACTGAGGAAAGCAACAGAACCTGTACACACACAGTGGCTGACTAAATAATTTTATACTATCGTGCCATTTAGAATAGAATTTTTTTATTGTTAACAGCTAAGAAAGAAACAAATATTACTTTAAATGGATTAAGAAATCTAAACCAATAGCTTTTGTACTCTGATGAAAATTCAGGAACCTCAAAGCTTTCTCCAAGCCCAGTAATGACATACCAAATACATTCATTGCAGAGAATATGCGGAAGCCAGTCCACATTGATATCACTGAAGATGAAAAAAAACCTATCAGGAGACATAACTTGGAGCTTCCCACGTCACCCCTACGAACACAACACAAGTCAAACTTAGACGTTCTCCAGAGCAGGTACTTGTATAAAATAGGCAATAGTTATACAACAGTGTGACAGTGAAGTTCCAGGAGAGGAACTTCATCATAGTTTTAACAAACCATTGTAAATAGGGAAGTTTCACAGCCACTTCTGTCATTCCAGTGATTACTGTGGGGGAGTAATTAATAAATTCTAAATAAAAACCTGCACATGAAACTGTCTGTACATACACTAAGTTTATCTCAAGGAGCAAGTTATTCAAAAAGTATTACCCACTTAATTGTTTTCCCATCCAGCTTTGGACACCCTAAAATGGCCAACTCACAGACAGGCTGCTCATAACTACCTAAGAATCAAGCTGTTTTAAGATGTATTGGAAAATATTCATAAGTTATTTTGAAATTAATACTCAGAATATTTTAATAGTTTGGATCTTGTATTTCATAGGCTGTTTTAATTCATTTTACAAGGTTACAAAAGCAAGTTTTGGACAGCAGAAGACAGCATCTCTCAGAAAAAGTAAAATACCAACATAATGTAAGTTTATTGTTCTTTTGATATAAGAATCAAAATGTGCAGTAATTACTGTATTTTTAAGTGATTTTTCAAAGAGAGGCCAAATCTCATGGATACTGAAACACATGAAGTCTTCTTTCTCTTTAGGACTATATTGATAAATTATTTTCCAGCTACAACTTACATATTTATTGAAAAAAAAAGCTAAAAATGTGTTTATATCCATCTCTCCTCAGGATAGCATTTGTGTGCATGCTTCAGATTAAGTAGGTTCTTATATATTTCCCTGAAATAAGACCTTATTGCCTTAAGCTTTTCATGAAAAGTCATATCAGAAAAGAAGATTTTCTCTTCTTTGTGGTTTATGTGCAGAGATGTAAAAGATATGGAATGGCTTGATTGCTTTGAACTTTATGTTTAAATCAAGTCAATTTTAGATAAATAAAACATCTCTTTGTTATGTTTTGTCTAGCTGTCACAAGGAACGGAATTATGCTATCTTGATTCTAGTATGGAAAATGAAGACAACATGGCAAGAGTTTTTAGTGCTTGTCCATTTTCCTCCTCTGGTTGTCAGTTCTCTAACTGTACACAGCTTTCAGAAGAAAATTTCAACACAAACCTAATGGGCAACATTTGGGAAAAGACCTATGAAAAGAAGCTGCAAAACCAGGTTTGGTTAATATTTTACTTTCACTGAATCATTTTAAACTAACTTTCATTTATTTGGTGTGTAAAACTTGTGTAATGGTGATGGTAATTATGACTGATCAACATTTTTGTAGGCTGGTGGCAATGAATATTCTGTATATATAAATATATTTATTTTATTATTCTGAAATGACTTCAACTTGAGCTTTTGTTCACTGAGCTCTCAGTGTTGCTGATATCTACAGAGAGAAAATTACTCACATACTGGTGGCTGTTTTTTTTCCTGGCTTGTAAATTTATATAAAGAAAACTGAAATATATTCTAGTTAAAAATACAGCTTTCTTAAACATACAGTTAGTGTAACTGGATGTTGCATGAATACAGGTGATTCCATGAAATATTTTTTTATCTTTTAATATCTCAGTGAATAACATAGCTCTTATGGTGTTCTCAGTGCTCTGCTATTTAACTCCTTACTTTTAAGAAACAATAGAAAGTTATTTGTTCTGATGCATGTTACTATTTTTTCTTATTGTTAATTTTGTGATACTTAAAAAAAATCATCCTTAGAAAAGTGATAGCAAATATAATATTGTTTATTTTTAATATATTATTAATTGGAAATAATAAAACAAATTCTATGTGTTTCACCAGTGGTATTCTGAAGTCTTGAGGTAAGTGAGGAAGGAATGCTCCAGGAGTTGGGGAGATGATGAGTTGTTCAGGGAATGAGTAGGCCAAAACCCACAGGAAGCTGACCTGAAGAACAAAGAAGCCCAACTAATATGTTTTCAAAACACAAGAACAATACACCCTTATATGCAAGAGAATGATTAGATTTATGAGGCCAGTTTGGCTGAATCAGGGAAGTCCTGACTGAGGTCAAATGCAAAGAGAAAATGTACAAGGAGGGATGGGCAACCCAGGAAGAAGACAGGAGTATGCCCTCAGCTTGGAGGGATGGCATTAGGATGGTCAGAGCTGAAAATCATAATAGGTGAGAACAGCAAGGAAGACTTGTGTAGGTATGTCATCAAAGAAAGGAAACCAAGGAAAATGCTGTCCACTGCTAAATAGAGTTGAGACCTAGTGACAAGGACATGGAAAAGCCCGAGGTACTCAGGTACTACTTTGCTTCAAGCTTTTCAGACAAGATCTGATCTCTGTCTCATCTTAAAATGCAGTCAAGAGCTGTGGGGAGTTGTATGGAACAGCAGGGAAGGAACAAGTTAGAGAATCCACAGTAACCTGGACATATAGAAATATATGAGACTGGACAGAGTTCAACCCAGTATATTCAGGGTGTTGGATGACACCACTGCAAGGCAGATATTTATCACCCTTGTAAGACTGTGGTGATCACAGCTTCCCAGTGAGAAGAAATACACAAATATTATGTCCATCTGCAAAAACATAACCATGATTTGGGGAAGCATCATCTCTGTCCCTGGAAGGATTAATTTGCCAGAGGCAATTCTGAGGTACATGAGGAACAAGAAGGTGTCTGCAAACAGCCGTCAGATTTTCCAAGGTCATACTCTGCCTGCTGGACCCAATTGCTTTCTGTGATGGAATTAGTAACTCTAGGAATTAGAGAGAACAGCAGACATTATTTACCTTGACTTTAGGAAGGCTTTTGACAAAGTTTCCCATGGGATTCTAGTAGCCAAAATGGGTAGCTATGAATCAGATGAATGGACAATAGGATGAGAAAAAACTGTTACTGTCATGCTCAAAGTAGTTATCTGTTGGCTAAAGTTTGTTTGGCAACAGTTGGGCTGTAAGGAGGTTTGAGCTTCTGCTATAAAAATATAAAGAAATAAAAATAATGGGAAAATAAGTATATTTTTGCAAACTCAAGCTGAAAGTTTTAAAGACTGTAACAATTATGTATATTCACAGTTTGACAGCTTCTACTGTTTTCTCAGCCAGGAAACAGCTTTGATCAAGACCCTTGGAATACAAAACCTCCAACCCAGGGTATTTTCAGGAAGTCTGATACAGTGCCTCAAGAACTGCTGTTCAAGCCGTTTGATAGGTAGGCAGTGATTTTACATTAATGAGGAAAATAACAGTCAAGTTTAATTAAGAAAAACACTAAAATAATCTGAATCTTATTGTTACTTGGCTTTTTCACTGACTGTTTTTCAAATAGAAATTGAGATCAAATGGAAATAATAAACATACAAAGCTATTTAAATTTGCTGAAAAGTGGCAGTCTGAATTTTGGGTAGGCACTTGGAACCATGATCTATTTTTTGCAATGTCACAGACATGATGGTGTTGCTGAATTCACCTTGAATGATAGCACAGATTTACTAAGAGGCCATGAGAAGGGTGAAGCTTCTGCAGTGTGAAGCTGCCACAAGTGTTATTAGTTCAGGGAACTATTGCAAGTGCTTTTCTGATGATCTTGATGCAATAGCAATTGAGCATCTGTACCTACATTATTAATACTAGGGATTCCAGGAACAAAGCATTTTCTTTAGTCCTCTTTCATATGTGATCCTACTACAGCTTTCTTTTTTTCCCTGTAACTGATTCAATGATACTTTCTATGAGAATACACACTTTGTTTTTAAAGGAATGGGTAGAAATTAAGAATATATTTCTTTTTGCATGTGCTGATCTTTCAAATCACAGGTGGTTTAAGGCCAGACTCATTTGTACTGAACACTTTATTTTCTTTTCTTTTAAGAGACTCTGCCTTGGACCTAGAGGTCTTACATAGTCAACCTTACTTTACTCCTTCTATTCCATAAGTCTGCCATTTGGTTGAAAGTTCCTGTCCATCTCTGATTTAGGCTAGATAGAGGCATAAAAAGGCCATACATTATTTTGCTGTTCCTGAAGTGCCTGCAGCCTGTTTGCTTGGGGACTCATGTGACCTTTAAACTCACTGGACAAATAATCAGTAAACACATCAGCCACCTTAACTTCCACTCTTCTTGTAGTTCTCCTGGATTTCTCCAGCAAAACCTAAAGTGAGCATCGAATTCACTTTGCTGAGTGACTTCCTAATTAATATATTTACATGGAGCCCTATATAACCTTATCTCACCTACATCTCTCATTTCTCCATCAGCTATCAGGCCTGCACACATCTGCTTATGTTACATCCTCTCATCTTCTCCCCATTCATAGGTCACTAACAACATCTCCTTTTCAACTGCTCTGCAATTTTCTTTCTTTCTATTCTCTGTGTTTTGTTTTCATCCATTGTAGTCATAAATTCTTACACCTCAGGAGATCACAATTCTTTTGTGAAGGGAGTTTCTTTCACTGTATGTGAAAAGTAGAGTATAAATTTATACAATTGTTTAATGTAACATACTGACGATATAATCAATGTGCATAATTCTGAGAGCTGTGGAACCTCAAGGTTATTAAATATTAATTGGAAGTTTTCATGTCATATTTCCTCATCTACTCTTAAATTTTACTTTGTATTACAAAATATCCAGCTGGAGTTGATAAAGACTCTGAATTGCTTCACAAAATAGTTTTGCCTTCCTGATGTAGACCTATCCAAGTATCTTCAGGAATAAACTCTAGTGTGTTTAGCCTTCTAAAACTGTCCCAGTGATGTTTCTGTAAGTAGAGGAAACTAGTTCCTCATTTAAGTTCCATAGAATCTTTATCCAATTCCAAGTATTTGCTGAACAAACACCACAGGTGTTTTCTCCAGTAAGAGTTTTCTGTACTACATTTCAGTTTTCAAGTTCTATTGATAGCTTTGCTCAGAACATTTTAAAGGAAGTCTTTTTTTAAAGGGCGTTTTTTGAATGGCCTTTTTTGCCAGATCTCTGTCCTTCAGAAGAATCTCATCTTTTTGCTCTGAGTTTCTGAAAGGTTGGTTGGCAGATCCAGCCTGGAAACCAGTCAGTGAAAATGCTAGATTAAGAGCCAAGTAAGTGAAAGCACGATAGCTTTAATGTTCACGATGCTCAATGATAAAATCTTCAAAACCACTGCTCTCAGAAGTGGGGTAGGGAAGTAGGGTAACAAAATGTCTGACTGACCTCCTGACACTGGAACAGAAAAATTCTGTGCTGAATCAGGATTACTGATTTCAAGTACAAATGAAAGTCACTTGTTATGGGTTTTCAGTATGGAAGAGAAATGTAGTCTTAAGCAAACTACTTTTATGAATGGAAGAAACTATCTTCCTCTTTATTTATTTTCCTCCCATTTTCTTTTTCTCCCCGAAGTGCCTGCCTTTGGTCAGCTGGTGGAGCAGCAGTGACATACTGTGGCTGATTTTATAAATCACAGTTCCCTGTCCAGGAGGATGTGCCTCATGGCTTTGTATATTTGGAGACATTAAGAAATAGAACCTCTTTTAAATCAATCTTACTATAAAGTAGATATAAAACATAATAAAATACACAGTTTTTCAGTTAAAATACTGTATATTTAGGACAAAATAAAATGTAATGAGCAGTGAAGTTTTTGAGATTTTTATCATCAAGTTACCATAAAGTGTTACATTAACAGTGAGTCTTTTGCTTATTTGTGTACTCAGAAAAATGTTTTTTTTCTTTTCTCCTCCTGTTACACCTCATTGCCTACCTCCAGGCCAGACTGCATGAATTCTGCCAGGAAAAATCCAGTGATAATAGCCAGTAATGAATCAGACAACTGTGAAGGAAAACAAGAACCAATATTTGATGTTGTGAAAGAAAGTGCAGAACTAAAAGGTCCCCAAGATGGAAGTGGTTGTTCCTTTCTGGCACTATTTGAAGACGAGACTCAACCAATCCATAATAATCCTTCCACAAAGCATTTTAATTCTTTTTCTAACCAAAGCAACACTGACGTTTTTTTCACTGTTCCTGATGTTAGAAATCAAATTACCAACAGAAATTATTCTTATGATACTGAAAGGGTTTATCCTGCAATCAATGCAAAAGAAAATTCAGTAGACAGACACCTTGAGGGCATTTTCACCGCTCCAGAACAGGTTTTCCTTAAAAGTAACAATGCGTCAAGTACAAGCTATGAGGAAACCAGTAGACTTCATAAAACCCACCTGCAGAAATGCCATGAGGGACAGCACTACTTCATACCCTGTGAAATGAAAGGAAAAAGAGCAAACCTTGAAAAAATTGGTGTGTGTCACATTTTACAGACATATATTCTGAGTTTTATTCTCCTTTTAAAGACATATGTTCTTATAACCAGAGATGTGTCTGCCCTGACTGAAAACATCATGAATCTTCAGAATGCAGTCATATCATTTTAAATCCAACTATTTAAATTATTTTTAAAACTTTTCAGAAACTTTTATATTCAAATTGCATTTATTCTATTGCATTTCAAAATCAAGGTTTACTTTTTTTCAATTTTAGAGACATTTGCTTATCATCATGATCAGCAGAATGGCCTAAAGGAGAATGTGCATAATTCTTCAAGAAAAAAAAGGTGAGTGTCATGGAAATTACCAATATATTAACCAGAATTAACTGCAAAGACCTTGCTGAATTGGAGAAATCATGCTAAGAGCACAGGAAGGCAAAATTCTAAACAGTATTACTGAGGACTCAAGTTTTCTCTGTGAGAATAGTACTGTACAATGTGAATGAATTTATGTGCAGATAAGCCCATTATACTTCTGTGTATCTGCCCATAATAAGTACACAGAAATACTTCATGGGACAGTTTGGAGTTCCCGAAATTCAGCTGTTGATCTGGCTTGTCCTCTAAAATACTCTGTCTCATTCCATTGGCTACAGAGCAAGTGTCTTCCATGTGCTGAGTGCTCTGTGTTTTCCTAAAGACTTGTTTTTCAAAGACTGATACATAGCACCTTCCATTTTACAAAACAGCACTATCTTCTGCCATTGCTTTGACTCCATTTTTTTTGACTCCTTCAACAGAAATTAAGTTTATAAAAAACATATTCTTGGTGTTAAATCTCAGGTTCAGAGATAAGTCCAGAGATCTCAGTAGTGGAGAGTATTTAATGGTTACTGAAGACAAAATAAAAATTGAAAAGTCACCAGTAAGGGCTTTAGTGCAGAAAGAAAATAAAAATACTGGGGGAAAATTACTTACCAGAGAACTTTGTGTTTGCATTCCTCAGTGATGACAAGCCTGTGAAAGAAACAGCGTGGAATCAGAACCATCTCTTTATATTTGAAGAGGTAACTTTAAAAAATATTTATTTTTTGTCAAACCCACTGTTTGCATGATTCATTTGAGATGGAGAAAGATTGTCCACAACAGTTAGAGACTGAATATAGCTTTACTGAATTAACTGCCATGGAAGCTTCTTTTCCATCATGGAATTCAGAAAGAACTGCTGCTAGTGATGTGGTTCAGCCCTTCTGGGTCCACAGTTCACATGGTTTCATTAACACCTCAGCTGATGCCTGAAAGATGTTGTATAAGCTACCCATCAACACTTAGGATCATATTTTGCTGTCAATGCTCGGACGTTATATGCAGGATGCTTCTGTGTTATAAAGGAGCTTTGTGCCAGTATACATATAAAAACTTCAGACATCTTGCCAGTAGAAGCCACATATGGTACTACTCAGGGGTAAAAATACCTCTTAAATAACTTGTGGTACAGTGCAGTAACTCCTTTATGTAAATACAGAAACTGAATGTTCCTCTCTTAACCTGAGATGCTAATCCAGCTGAACCCTCACTATTAATATGTTATTATTTTTAACAGTTCACAACAGCACAAGAGGAAAGGTGTAAGTTTGGAGTGAGTTCATATCTTCATGAGATGGAGATGGGTTAGTACTATTTAAACATTATCACTTAAAATTTTTTTCTCTACATGTGAAACTGAAACAGCTACTTTTAAAGCCAGGGAGAATGATCTTTTTGGGATGTTAACTTTGATGAGGGCTTGTATTTCTGATTCACACAGCACTGTAAAAAGACAACTAGCATTATCAGGTAACTAAGAATTAGCTGGTTTTGTTTTTCCTTGAAGAGATATTCTCTTCCACTAGACTATATGCTGTCACTCCACATGTGGACAGAGTTAGCTAGGCAATCCTACATCCTTCCTAGTCTCTCAGTAGCTGTAGGGTCAGCTGTGCTGGCTCCATTTCACACCAGAAGATCTCTCAGGGGCCTCCAAGAGAGAAATATGTAATGGCAGCCACTGTGCACATGGAGTCTGCTGTGTTCTCTCGCAGGCTGTGCTCTACAGAGTCACTCCTCCTTTTGAGTAGCACAGTTCTGCTGCTGATTAACAGCACAGCTGAGGCTCTGGGTAACCAATCTCACAAGCTCTGTTGTGTTGACCTGAGAAGGACTGACTATTGCTAAGAATTAGATTCACCTTGCTAACATCTTGTTCTTTAAACAGTGTCTTAAAACTGCATCAGAAATAGTAATGTTTAATTCTAGGTGCTGTAGTTGAGAGCTGGATCTTTGGGGAATGTTTGGTGAGTAACCTTTCTTTTTTTTTTTTATCTAATTTTTCAAGATGTGGAGTCACCACTCAGCAGCCTGTCTCACAGTTATTCCCCAAGGCAGACTGAGAGCTATTTGAGCTCTAGTCCTGACACAGTGAGTAAACCCTTGTAGGCTGGCTTTATTTGAATCATGTCTTTATGCCCAAGAGCCATAGGTGGATGTAGCTGGAATCTCATTTTGTTTTGTATGAGATAACTTCACATGTGATGAGAACAATAAATTATTAGCTGTAAATCTTCCTAAGTAGTTTGACAGACATGTGGTCTGATAATGACTGACCTTGTGGAAGCAGCATGACTGTGGGAAGATGCTAAGTAACATTCTATGCTCTTCCTGTTTGTATAGCTGCCTTAGATTACATGCCTGTAAAGCAGAATGATTTGACACACTGTGTCTTGAACCCAAATGTGCCATGGTGTAAGAGTCTAAATTGCATGTGAGAGTGAAGGTCTGCCTTGGCCACCTTTGCTTCACCAAGAGCCAGAGGTACATCCTTGGAGAAGGAATGAAAAAACCTGCAAACAACCAAAAGCAGACAGTTCTGGCCTTTCTGTTTAGTTCTGGCCTTTCTGTTTATTTCACTTAGTTATTAGCAAGTCATTACTTCAGTTACTGAACTATTTGAACAGTTACAATTGCACCATTCTGTTCAAACAGTCTGAAGAAGAAGAGACGGCCAAAAGGAAGGAATATCTGAATGAACAGTTCTTGAAGGCACATGATGCCACCCTATTCTCAGCCTCAGCAAGCAGAGAGGCTCCCAAGAGCTCCCATACACGAAGTGTGGGTACGCAGCCCAGCAGCACTTTGGCTAGAGAAGAAGCAAACAATCTTCAGGAGAAAAACTTTATTTTTTGTGCCACAGAGGTGGAAAATAAAACCCACACAGCCTTGTCTCAGGGTGCATCACACCGTGCTCCTAAGAGGGAGCACGTCAGTCGCAGCAGCAGGTGCGATGTTTGGTCGCAGACCGAGGGCTGTGTGACAGAAGTAGAGAAGGTGGATGTGGGCACCCAGTGTGGCACCTTGAGGGTGTGCAGCTGTGGGGGATCCCTCCCCGCTGCCCGCAGCCCGGGCGGGGTTCGTGCACCCAGCACTGCCGGCGCTGCAGGAGAGCACGAACGGCCAGTGCAGGAGGTGCCGCAGCCCGCGGGCACCGGCAGCGCAGCGGGGACAGACGCCCTCTCCTCGGAGACCGAGTACCTCAGTTTGGCTGGCAGAAGGACTCTAGAGGTGCTGAACTACATTGATAAAATGAAGGAGAGAAATATGCAGTGATCAACTATGTCACGTAAAGAACACAATAATTTTGTCCAGTTCTTGGTGTATTTCATTCAATTGGCATACTCTGATTTTTCTAGCATAGTTAGCCAAAGAATATTTTTACTGTTTGATTGCTTTAACTATCAATAATTATGGGTTTCTGTCTACCTACTGTTATCTCAAAGTATGGGTTTCTATAAATATCCAACTATTAACAAAGGATTTTACAGTAGCCTAGTAAATACAAATGTTAGGAATTCTATTGGTTTCCTCACCATATATGATTCTGTAGTTTGGAATTGATTGACTGTGTTTATTTTAACATAATGGGAAGATGTTGTTCTACTTCAAAACATATTTAGTGTGGCTCTGAGTTCAGAGCCATTGTCTGATTCTCACCCATTTTAACAGAAAAACTTGCCTTTGTCATGTGTTCATACTAAACACAAAAATGGGAAACAACAGAAAATATACATCTGCACACATAGAATGCAATGTAATTTTAAAAGTGCTAATTTATTACTTTTTTTTTAAATGTTCAATTTTCCTTCCATAGCAGATCCACTCATTCATTTTCTGGCTGTTAATCTAAAAAAATCTTTCATGTGTTCCTGTATTCTGTCTGCAAATTAAAAATCTGAATTACTTGCCTCTTCATTTCAGTATTTGTGTGAAGCTACAGATCACAATGAAAGTTTCTGTTAATATTGTTTCTAGGTTATATTCTTGCCTTCTAAAAAGGCCTTTACCTCATGGTAAAGGGGTCAGGGAGACTCACTGTTACTAACATCAACTTAGAGATCCATGCACCTTCACTTCTATATAGATATCTCTCTGTCTTAACTGTGTGTGTATGTGTATATATATATATATAAAACCTGTATAAATATAACTATATACATATGCCTATGTATATATATAAATGCCTGTGCTGGCACTAGCCAGCTGGCTGAATGCAGGGCTCCTCTTCTTCACAAAATGGGTGTTGCACTATATTAGGAACGGTGAAGCAGTACGACATAGACTCTCTAGCTGGGTTATACAAGACAGCAAGTTTTATTATTCCCAATCTTCATTTATATGCAGGTCCGAGAAGGTCTGAGAGGTAAAACTCTCATTGGCCATTAAACCAACACATCACTATTATTGGACAATTGGGTACACCACCTCTTGACCTTTTCTTGCAAGAAAACAACAGGGATCCAAACAACACCTGCAAAGGTTGTCGTCCTTCTCCAAGGACTGTTTGAATTCCTCCTTATGATTTCTCAGACCAGAGTGAGAACCTTGTGTGATTTAGTTTCACACAGGCTCTGTACTCCCTGCCTGTTTTCAGCGTCCATAAATGGGCTTGGGCAAAAGCTACACTGGAGACTTCCTTAAACAGAAAAGGAGATTTGCCTCTATAAGGTTAATATATTGTGCTTTTCTCTTGGAGACTGCTGTTAAAAGATTCACTGCCCTTATTCCCACCAGGTCAGGGTTTTTTCTGTTTTGTAGAAGGGGTGTCACCCAGCCTGGATGGGACTCATCACCATTCTTTGTCTCTGTTCTCACCATTGAACTAGTGGCTGCTTTTGCTGCTGCATTTTATTTTTGAAGCTAAGAGCCATTTTTAAAAGAAGGTCTACATTGCTCAAGAGTTTGCAGGTTTATGGCTGTGCTATTTTTAAAAATAGCAGCTCGGAAATTTCAGTGGACTTTACTTGGAAGAAAATAGCATTGTCTTTTATATGTATAAATTGCATACATAGGAAGTGGTTTGCACAGGCAGACACTGAAACTGTGTAACTATCACTTAGCCAATTCACTGCCTGCTTCCTAAGGCTTGACATAAGCAGATTTTCTTTTTTAGGTTGCCTCAATTTATTGTCAAAGCAAACTCCCTAGTAATTTTTTTTAAGCTGCAATATTCATCTTCTTCACAGGAGATGTAATTTATTTGAATAACAGCTATGATTTTCTGACAGCTCAGCTTTTACCAGTGGTTTCTAAAGCATAGTTTTTCACTCAGTATGATGAAGTCAGTTCAGATTGTGCCACACCAGCAGCAGCCCATGCTGCCTTGAATGTTGCTATCCCAACAGACCCTCACACCTGGTACGTACCTGCCAGTCCTTCCAGTGGGTCTGTCCAGCTTCCCAGCCACCCCCACAGCTGATGTGTCCCCGGGGCACTTGGCCTGCCAGCCTGCAATACACTGTAGCAGAGGCCAGAGAGTGGCACACAACAGCTAAAGGGTCCAGCACTGTCTGCTTTAGACTGGAGGGGTTTTATTACCCCAGCAGATGTAAAATTGCCTCACGGCCAAAGGGTTCTTTGGTGTCTGGGTTAGAGTGGTGCTGGTGACCCAAACAGAGATGAACTGCTATTAACTTGGAGTAGAAGTTCTGCTCCTGGTTTCTCTGATGGTGGCATTGTTGCTTGGACTTTTAAACCGTGGTTGGTTTTACACTGAAGCTACCCACATTCAGGCAGATACTCCAGATCTGCAGAGGTGGCCTCTGAGCAGACATATTCCCAGTCTGTGCCTGTGAACCCATGGGACGAAGAACGCAGGTTGGAATGCAGGTGGGAAAAGAGGGACAGTTGCACCATATGGGTGTATGTGTGGGGGGTTTCAAATGCTCTTTATAAATATTTATCATCATTTAAAGACTCTCAGTGGGTATTGCTTATTTTCACTTCAGCCACTGATATAGAAGCTCTCACAATCTGTCCAGTTCCAGCCAGGTTTCAGCCTGGACTGCAGTGAAATTCCACTGCCCAGTGTGAGAAACTCACCCTCTGACTGGCTGTACATAAGAGCTGCATACATGTCTCTAATGCAATAATTCACCACCTGGGATATCAATCACTGTAGATAATCATGTTTCACAGCCTTTGGATGAGAGAATATAAATTCAAATTACAATCTTCCTTCTACCTGTAACTGCAAAGCAATCTGAAGAAAGAAAACTATCTTTGTAGTGGTTTGTGTGCTGGCAATGATGACAAGTAAGGCTGTGTGCTTGTTTTAGTGATTAGAGAAGTATTTTAAAGTATTTACCTTACTATTATTGCATTAAAAGAGGCTCATGCTTTCTCCTTAGCCCAGCACCAGTCTGCCCCTCTGCTCAGGTGCTTTCTTTTCCCTGATTTTTTGGTGACTTCAGGGAAGAGCTGTCTTTGGTTTAATAGGAAGTAGTAAACTCAAACTGTGCTTTCTTCAGCTGATAATTTAACAGCTGATGCTATTAATCCATCAATATTTGTAGCCTATAGTGATGACTGTCACCTTACTAAATGCATTCAGGCACCACCAGCTTTCTCTGAGGCAACAGCTTAGGCAGAGACACCCCTTTTTCATCTGTCATTCTTCCTGGCAGCATGCTGAGCCTCCAGGGAGGCCATGGAAATAAACATGTTTTTAACTGTTTGGTAAGCATCAATTATAAGTAGAGTTTTGCTGGGGAAAAGGACATAAGGGTACCTCTAATTAACCAAAAAACCAGGAACATTTGTTTATCAGTGGTAGTCAAATGCTTCTAAACGCAGATTGAAAGACTCTCATTGCAAATACTACCATAAGCTTCAATGGGAATCAGTTTTAATATGCAGCTTGTAATTTTATTTCCCTCTAAAATCAGTTCTAATTACAGTAACCTGCAAGATAAGGTTTTCTGGGAAAGTGCCAAAAGAAGTTTGGTCATTAATGGGCAGTTTGTTACTGGATGTTTTGCCAAAAGTGTCCACAAACTTTGTAGAAATTCTTATTTCATTTTCATGAAGGATTATCATTATAGGAAATGAGAGGCTTAAGTCTTCATACAAGTAGTTATTTCTCTGGTAGAAACTGAATTGGTTTTTTAAGGGTTTCAGTGGACAGCAGATTGAGGGAGGATGAGGTTTCCTGGAAAAAATATTTAACTCTCTGTATCCAGTGCCTAATCTGTCCTCATGAAAGTCAATGACCTTTCTGCAATGTTTCTTCAGCCTCTTCTCCCTGACAGCCTCTGATGGGTTAGAGGTGACAATCCAGTCACCCAGATCAGAGCTTGCTTCTCCAGGGCTGGTGATGTGGAACTCCAGCCAGGTCTCCTGATCCTGAGCTGAATACTGAACATTTTCCCTCTCTCCAACCATACTGCAGTGACTCCACATCCTGATGGTGCTTGCTCCAGGTTCTGCAGCCCTCTGGATGCGCAAGCTGACAACCAGCACACGGTGAGCACTCACACAGCACACAGCTGCAGAGGGTGCTGATACACCAGCTCTGTGTGAGGTGATGGGGAATCCTGGGCCCAAACAGAGGTGGAGAGTGAGTGAGTCAAGATAAGGCAGGAGGCTGAAAGAGGCCTGTTGAATTATTTAATAGAGCTGAGAGAAAACATGGCAAATCAACCATTTTTGCTCGTTTGCAGAGAGAATGCTGTGATTTACTGCCAGTGTGTCATGCTCAGCACATGGGTGCTGGCCTGGCTCAAGGACCCAGAGCTGTGGCTGATTAAAGGACAAACCAATATGTCTTATTGCAGAAGATTTATTTCTTTTCCTGGGCTGGAGTCATTACTGGGAAACAGGAGGTCTGTAAGGAGCTTTGCTCACCAGAGAAGCTGCACTCCATGCAAATGAAAGAATTTTTGGAGAACCCCCAACTAGCTGAAGCTGGCAGGCGTCTCCAAGCTTGCCCAGTGCAAGCCCCACTCATAGCAGGGCCAGCTGGAGCAGGGTGCTTTGGGCCACAGCCAGCTGCTATCAGCAGACACCCGGCCTGGGGCTGGGGGAATAAGCCCTGCCAGGTAAGGGACCCCAGGGAAGCTGTGCCTGCTCACAGCAGCTGCTGCAGATGGAGGCAGCCACTGCCTGAGCTGTTTCCTCCCTGTGCTGAGAACAAGGCAGGGGCCTGGGGCTGGAGGAAGGGGAGCTGTAGGTGTATGGGGAGGGAGGCTGGGTCCTGCTGCCCTGCCCTGCTCCACCTCCTCAGAGCACAACTCCTGCCTCTCTTTGCCTCTCCTCACCCACATTTCTGTGCAGTCATGAAGAGCAGCAGTTTCACCCCAACACCAGCTCATCCCTGAGTGCACAGCCACAGAGCCTCCTCCAGCAGCCCTGCAGCCTTGGGCTGCACTAACTACGGGCACTCATAATTCTCCTGGCAGGGGCTCCGGGGGTCTCAATGCCCCCAGTGTATCCCTGTGAATCCCACCAGCAACAAGGAAACCTGACATACAGAGAGAATACAAAAGCTATCTCATCTGGTACCAGGCTGGGGGTGGCAGTTAGCCTTCACCCAGCTTACAAAAACTTTACTTGCTCTTGACTTTTTTCCCATCATTTTTAGCAGCCCATGAGAGGAGAGCAGTGGGGACACCAGCCCCAGCTTAGTTTCAAAGCTGCATGGGGTATCTGCCTCTCCCTCAGCCCCCTCAGCCAGCCTGCAGGTTATGGGAACCTCAAACACCAGGGACAGCACAGGAGAAGCCACACAGCAGGAGACTGACTGCAGTCACATTTCTGACAATCCAGTAACAAGGCACACTGATCAGACATCCTGGACAATGAAGGAGCTCACTGGGAGCAGTCAGACAGTTTTGATGCAATCTCACCATAAATATATTAAAACAAGCACCACTTTCAGGGCAATGCCTATTCCAAGGCACCACTTCCCAATGGGGACCCAGCCACCTGCTGCAGGCCACAGCTGCCACTTTAGGGATGG